TCGGACTCAGGTGGACTTGGGTTCAAATCCTGATGCTACAACTAAGGAAATATCTGAACTTACACAAACCATTTAATGATTCTACATCTCCATTTCTTCATCTGCGGAAGGAGGATGGAGTCAACCTCGTGTAATTTTATGAGAATTTGAAATTGGATATTTAAAATGGTTAACATAGGATCTGGTTAAAATAAACACTCATTATACAATATTTCCTCTTATCTTTATTACATCTATTATCATTGTTAGTATATCAACTTCTCCCTGATCATCTAAGTTCCCTTTAACCAGTATTTGTCAAGACTATGCCCTTTCTCCTCCAGGAAGCCCTCCATGAACTTTATGGCTTAGAATGACACTGCCTTCCTTAATTCTCTCTCTTAGGCTACCAAATCTTGCTTATATGTCCTAGTTTAGGAATCTCTGGGAAGAGGAAATCACTTTTTATTCAGCCTCCTTTCCTCAGTGTCCAGCATATTGTGTAGCTCCTAATAAATAAACATTGATTAGCTTTGAAAGAATCTTAACATCTATACTCTTGCTATTGGCTTTGTGCCACATTCCCAACCCCATAGCACTTAGAGCTTCATAAAGAGTAAATCTACAATGCATGAATTTAAAAGCAATTACATTTTCCTTTGGGAGGAGGGTGTGAGCCTTGTTATATACAGAGCATGTTTATCTTCACTGTTGTGTCAATCCTGCTTAATGGTGTGGCACATGGTAGGTAGTTAAGAATTAAGCACTCAAAAGATGGGTAAATGGATGGATAAATAAAAATAAGCTTACAGGACCAAGAAGTTTAAAAATTGCTTAACACTGATATTCTCCAAGTTCACATCCTGATATTTCTCTCTGGAAACAGTTACAATGACTGAAGACTAAGAATTAATAGAAACCCCACCGGACACCATGAGGTACACGTCTATAGCTACTCAGGAGGCTGAGACAAAAGGATTGCAAGTTCAAGACCAGCCTGGGCAACTTAGCAAGGCCCTCTCTCAAAAAACAAATAAAATAAAATAAAAAGCCTGGGGATGTATGTGTAGCTTAATGAAAATCCTCTGGGTATAATTCCAGTACCATGAAAGATTCTGAGGTGGGGGGGGGGGGTGATAGGCTTTCGTTCAGTCATAAAGTATTTACAGTGTTGCCTAGCATGCGCAAGGCCCTGCAGTCAATACCCAGTGCCAGAAAAGAGAAAAAAAAGAATGGAAACCTTTCACATATGCTTTTTTTTAGTTTTTTCTTCCAGCTTTAATGAGGTATAATTTATGAATGAAAGTCTACAACATAATTATTTAATATACACACACTTTGAAACGGTTAACAGACTTAATATAGCCATGATCTTGCACATTTACCCTTGTATGGGGTGTGTGTGTGCGTGTGTGTGTGTGTGTTGAGAATACTGAGGATCTGTCTTATCAAATTGCAAGAGTATAATACAACATTATTAACTATAGCTACCGTGCGATGGTACATTTCTTTTGTAATCCCCCAAGACCCCCCTGTCCCCTCCCCAGGATCTGGGGGAAGATATAGGCCTCCATCCTAGTAGCAGGATGACGTCTGAAAAGCCTTGGCCAGTGAACTGACCTCCCAGAAAAGGGCCGCAGCTAGGCTTTTCCTGCTACTGAATTAGACTAGATAGGTTAAGGGGAAAACCAGGGCTAGCCATAGCCTTTTTGCTTTCCTAAGGGTTTCAGAGGATCCTTATTACTTGACAAACTGAAACACTAAGAATTACACTCTTTCAGGAAAAAGGCAACAGTGGGCTTTTTCTGGGGGAAAAGTGGTCTTTTGGGGAAGAGGAGACTTCTCAGAATTCTCTTACAATTCTCTTACTCACCAGAGACTACCCTTCTGTCAACTGCTTTCTTCAAAGGACCCAAGCAATCATGCACACCAGACACTAAGATTTACTTTTTCCTAGTGTGAACTAATTGTTTGGTGTGCATTGTCTCATTTGATCTCATTTATTCTCACTTGCAGCTGAAACGACTTTACTATGGAGTTAACATTAGTGTTACCATTTTACAAATGAAAACACTTAGGCCTAGAGAGGGAATGTTACACATCAAGGTTATAACTACTACCTACAGTCCTATGGAGTCATATGGAGTTGCCACTACCTAACCATTTTGATTCTAAAAAAAAAAATGGCAACTCCATATGGGTCAAACTAATGCCTAGTGGCATAGCCAACTTCTAACAGTATCAGGCTGACTCTAGATCAGATATTCTCCAGCATTACACAGACTCTTCCTGGGTATTTATTCCACTTTAGTGTTTATCATTGTTCCCGGTAACAATCTGTTCTCATGTCTGCCTCCTTTGTAGGGCCGTGAGCTCATCAAGAGCAAGATATGCCCATCACTGTGTCTGAAAGCCCCTACATCTCCAGGCTAGCCTATAGCCTGATGTTATACTCATTTAGCTCATCTCTGTTGGACACAAGAATAAATTATTTCCAAATGAATTAATTCTTTGGCCTCTGAGTGATTGCTGGCCCCATTAATATTCTAACTGGGCACCAACTAAGGCACCACTTTACCTAAAGGGATAATTGCTTCTGAGTACTGGGACCCAAACACCCAGGGCTGGGAGAGTCCTTGGTTTTTAGTTCAAATATTTTTGATTCTTCTATGCCTCAGGTTGTGCTGACCTCACTGGGTTGTGAGGATCAGATGTCCTAGGGAAAAAAAAATCCACACTTAAGGCTGTTTCCTGGCTCCTGTCTCTTCCTGACACATTCCAAGAAGGAATTTATGAATGTTGGGAAGGACAAGGGGTGAGGGATTTCAAGAACATTTAAGAACACCCATGTAAGCAACTCCATGCTTGACAGACTGGGCACAGTAAAATTCTCTTGCCTATAAGCCAGAAGAAAATTGGTGTAAGATGTCTCATGTGTTGCCACAATGACGTGGAAACAAATTCATCTGCATCTTTAATCATCCTTGTCCCTCCAAACCTCAGGTATTTCACATGCATACTTTAGTCAACAAGAGGAATATATTCTGTGCATTACTAAAAATGAAGTCATAAGTAATTCTGAAATGTGACTCTAGCCAGTTGGATGTGTTATCATTATCTAAAAGTGAAATTGTTTATTGTTTATTCTACAGCTGTGATGAGGGAAAAATTCAAAGACTTTATTTTTATCTCTAGAAATGATCTTTGTCCTGTGGAGAGGTGCCTAAAAATAACCTTTAGTTTAATCCATGCTGCCCCAAAATGTTACCTATTAAACAGCTCACCTAGAAAGATCTCTCTCCTGTGTGCACAAAGGTACCTTCTTTAACTGATCCCCAACATATGCACACATTAGTGCTTATTCTGTTTGGGGGTGTGCAGAGAGATGAGACATCTCCTGCTTCTCTGGAATTTAGACATAGCAATCTGTTCCCCTCAACTTTACTGTTCTCAGCTACAGGGTAAACAGCACAAGTCTGCAGTCCTTTCTCATTCAAGACATTTTCCAGACCTTTCCTTACTGATCACTTCCTCTAAAGATAAGCATCTACTTAGGCTTTTAAAGAATCTCTGTAGAATAAATTGCTCATTCTTAAGATACAAAACCCTCCTATCAGACCTTGATTGTTTATGTCTAATTTAAATCTCCCAAACTGCAATCTCAAGTCACTTTCTCTAGGTCTCAGCCTCAAAGGAGACATAAACCAGCCAGTTGTCTGCATGAGAATATTTTGCATTCTTGAAGGTCATTATTTGCTCCCTGGTTTTTCCCTCTCTGGAATAAGTATTTCTAGTTCTAGTAAACTGATCTTCACAAGGTTTACCTCCTCACCCGTCAGTAATTTCTACTGCTCCTCTGATCTAGATCCAAGATGCTGCTGAGTTTGGGATAGAATTCCACTAGGATGTCATGTTCCAGCTTAAAAAAAAGGAGGCCACTCGTGTGAGCATTTGCTAGGTTTCATTTGTTCCCAGAAGTACAACAAAATAGCAGCTCTGGTTTAATGATGCCTACTATGGGCCCAATACCATACTGAGTGCTCCATGTACAGGTCTCTAATCCTTAATTCCCCCCGGAACGGTTTCGAGCCCTAGTTTATAAATGAGGCCATGATCTAGACAGGATTAGTAGCTTGCCAAAGTGACAGAGCCACTGGGTGGCATTTATACCCAAGTGGGTCTAATAGTAAAGTTTAAGCATTTTCCAAAATGTGGAAGATATGATGGGTCTTCCCAAAGCACAAAGTTGTCCACCTGCCCTCGGAGCACCATGAACCAATGGGAAATGCAGAGCACTCAGGAATGACGTCCTTCTCCCAATTTGACATGTGGAAGTGCCCATCTCTTCAATATACAGTGAAAAATCCTCACCCTACTCACACATTGATCATTACCACCCTAAACTCACTGCCTTGGAGTCTTGACCAACAATTCTAGTGGCTTTTTAGATGGAAATCTGAGTCATTTAGCAATGCAACACACACACACACACACACACACACACACACTTCACACAAAAGAGTTTTAAGGTAAAAGTTTAAAAACACTTCAAGCTTGCCCCATCATCCTTCAAAAACTGAAGAATTTATGGGATGAAAGTAGGAAAGGTCTTTCTGTGAATAATGAGAATTAAAGCAGGCATTCCAATAGCACATGCAAATATTTTTCTAGTAAACAAATGAAGTAGATGTTATCAATTCCAGAGAAGAGAATGTGCCAAATTCTCCTCTTTGTAACAGTCTTCATCTTTGTAACAGCCTTACCTACATCACAGATCCACAAATAATTACTTAGGAAACAAATTTGAATGAGAAAGTATGTTCAGAAGAATGGGTTTTTTCCCCTAACCACAGAGTAGTTGCCCTAAGTAAACATTACTTGAATAGTTGGTAAAATATCAATATTAATATAATTAGGATTCATCAGGAGTGTGGCTAGAATGTACTTTGTTAAATGCCTGGCAGGGGCTTTCTCGACCTCCAGACGCATTCTCAATCTTACTAAAGCATTTCTCTGTTCAGGTTTTGTTGCCCCGAGTCCCTCAAGTTTTTCACAGGCTTTCTGCCATCATGAAGGAGGTAATCATTGATGCTTTCTACTATTGGGATAAGATGTTCCTGGGGGAAAAGTTGGAAAACTTCTTACAGGATAAGCAATCTGAATCCCACAGCTACTTGACATAAACGGGTAACTTACAATATGCAAGTGTAAGAATACCATAGGCATAAGGAAATGCAAGTTTGTGAAATTCCTTACTAAAGACCAAATGGCTGTCCAATTATTTTTTGAACTATATTCAGGTGTATTTACTAATTGAAGAGGATAGTGAATGGCCTCATACCATGTATACATCACTCTCACACATATCCACAGAGTTGTGTTAGTCAATGTTGTACTTGTCTTTCTGTCTTCATTCTGTAATTTCTCAACTCCCTTAGGTAACTCTCCTATCCTCTGCTACCTGACTGCCTGTATGGTAGAACAGCCACAGGACAGATGAATAAGACAGCACAGTCAGAACTGCTTCATGGTAGCATGTTTTCTCAATACTATTTCCTTTCTCACTACGGAAGGCTCAGTTTAAATTTCACCCTTTCTCATAAGCCAGACCCTGTCATTCTTTGGACAATTCCTTTGTCTTTCAAACCCTGTGAGCAGTTAAATTCTGTACCCACAATATAAATCCTTTCCATTCCTTCTTTCTTTGTTCCCTGAGTATTAAATGGATGATTCTATTTTCTTCTTAATTGTATTGTTAAATCCCTTGAGGACAGACACCTGTTCTTGCATCTCTTTGTACCATCCACAAAACTCTGTTGTGGGAGCCTCGGGGAACAGGAATTCTGTAAGTGCTGGTCGATTGGAGGACACATCAAAGGCCCAAGGGCATCATTTCTCAGGCCTTCATTGCTGTGAATATCAATGTAAACAACTGGTTCAGGCTCTTCTGAAAACCAGACTGTTTGAAACTTTTGGATAGAAATCAAGAGAGGAAACTCAGGTACCGAAAGAAAGAGAATACTATGCCATCAGTCACATAACCAGAAAGAAGCTTGGCTGAGATTAAAGCTCAGGGTATGTTCTGGTGTCCTTCATGTTGCCCTCTGGCTTTCCTGACAGAAAAGAAGCTGTCAGATAGTGTTAAATTCAGTTTGGAAGGTCAGCGTTAAAATCACTGCAAAAGGTCAGTAATAAGAGACAGGGGTTATAAACCATTGACAGGGGTTATAACCTTCATGTCACTCTAATAAACCACTCAGAGGACTTGGCTGGTAAGTATTGAAGAAATTAATAAATACACAAGTGAGTTCTACTTAATACTCTCATTTATATCATTCTTTCAACTCTGTTATTAACTTTCTTTTTTTTTTTGGTACCGGGGATTGAACTCGGGTCCTTGCGCTTGCGCAGCAGGCGGTGAAACCACTGAGCTAAATCCCCAGCCCACTGTTATTAACTATTATGATCTTCACTGTACATAAAGTAAAATAAGGGCTGGGCATGATGTCGTACGCCTGTAATCCCAGCACTCAGGAGGCTGAGGCCAGAGAATCAACATGCATTAGAGGCTAGCCTGGGCTACATAATATGTTCAAGGCCAACCTGACCTGCATAGCAAGAGCCTGTCTCAAAATAAAATAAAAATAAAAATAAAAAATTTAAAAAGTGAAGAAGGAAAAAGAAAAGTTACATAACTTACCCAAGGGCCTAGAGTAAGAGAGAGACAAACCCATGCCCTCCTCATTCCAAAGTTCTGCTCTTTCCGCAATTCTCTGTTGTGTCCTTAAATTTCCAGAAATTGAATAGTAAGTGAAATAATCCCTTCAAGATTGCAAAATTCTTTTAGACACTATTTTATAGACTCACTACAGTATATACTCAAGGGACATCAGGAGAGCTCCAAGCACAGATGATATAAAACCAAAGTTCACTTGGAATAGTAGATATCCAGTAGATTCAATGCATAGTAGATACTAATAAGTTTGTTTTCCTTCATTTACTTGTAGAAAATCATTCTTTCAAGAAGACTGAAGACAACTGATTTGGATTCTACCCTGCACTTCTAATTTCCAAATTAGTACGAGAGTAAGACATCCCAGAACCCTAGAAACACCCAGCCAAACCCACCTCCACCATGGGGGCCTTGACTCGGCTGTTGCTGGGACTCTTCCTGGCTTTACTTGCCCTCTCTTCTGAAGGCGGGGTCCTCAAGAAAGTCATCAGGCACAAGCGACAGAGTGGGGTGAACATCACCTTGCCAGAGGAGAATCAGCCAGTGGTGTTTAACCATGTGTACAACATCAAGCTGCCCTTGGGCTCTCAGTGTTCTGTGGATCTGGAATCAACCAGTGGGGAGAAAGACCTGGCCCCTCCATCCGAGCCCAGTGAAAGCTTCCAGGAGCACACAGTGGATGGGGAAAATCAAATCGTCTTCACGCACCGCATCAACATCCCCCGCCAGGCCTGTGGCTGTGCTGCTGCTCCAGATGTCAAAGAGCTCCTGAGCAGGCTGGAGGAGCTGGAGCTCCTGGTGTCCTCCCTGCGGGAGCAGTGCACCATGGGAACAGGCTGCTGTCTCCAGCCTGCTGAAGGTAGGAGCTGGTGATAGGCCCCTCCCTGCACAGAAGGGAGAAACGATGAGTATGCAGGATCCATCAGTGGTTTCCAAAGTGGGCTCCCAGGTGCTCATTAAAAAAGTTCTTAAAGTCCAATAAATGTGGAGAATGTAGCCAGCTCTCTCCCATTCTTGGATAAGTCGTAATACCAAATGTTCCTGAGAAATTTTCGAGCACCTGAGAAATATCTTTTTGAAAACCCTTTGTATTTCATGATGTTTCTAAAACTGATTTGGCCATGAAATCTATCCGTTCTTCAGCACAAAGCCTGTGAATATATCATAAAATTCCCACCCCAAGGACCACCCTGTGTAAAGTGTACTGCTCCATCATCTGGTGGTACACATAGGGAAACTGAGGCTTAGAGAGAATGTGGGATTCAAGATTCCACAGCGAGGCTCTGAGTTGGGTCTTAAGGCCCAGGACACTGTGTCCCAGAGCTCTTACCAGTGTCTGTGGCTGACTACGGTGGTGACTGTGGAGTCAGTGGGAATGGGAAACAAGTCCCCATGTGATGGAGCCCTAACATGACGATGACAGTGGTCACGGTCATGACATGACCCCCCTCGGGGTGTTCCCCAAGAGGCTTTGTTACTATTATCTCACTTGATCCTCCCAACAGCCCTTCAAGATAAAGCTTCAAACCTCTTCTGGAGATCTAAAGAATTTAGACTTGAAGAAGTTAACCAAATACCACAAGATGACAGAACAATGAGGGATGGGGCTTTAGGTGTCTCTCTGTGTCTTCAGAGGGCATCTGTTGACACCCTGTATCCATAATGCATCCCATTTCAAGGAATTTTGCTCCTTTGGAATTACGTATTTATCCCCCTTCCTTGAAGTCAGTAAAATGATGGAAGTTTCAGCAACTTCAAATCAGAAATGAAAATCTTTATTTGTGCCACTCAAAGAAAAAGTACCAGAAACTACTTTGACAATCATTTTAAGAGTAGACCTTTCCACCCTAAGTGGGAAGTATTGTAGGTACTCGAGATTTCTAAGCAGTATTTTCTATAAGTTTTCTTTAGGCATAAATTAGTTTACCCTGCACATCTGTCAACTTCCTCACAAAATGCAGACGAAAATGCTGAGGATTGGTGCTAAAAAATAGGTTGCAATAATTGTTTATAAGAGTGCTGTCCAGTAAAAACAGAACATAACCACATAACCTTAAATTTTTAGTAGTCATATTTTAAAAGGAAAAAATAAGCAAGTAAAAGTAATTTTAATTATCATTTTATTTAACTCAATTTAAACAAAATACGTAGCTTTTACCCCAAAAGAAATATAGAAATCATTAATGGGTGTTTTACATTTTATTCTTTTATGCTGTCTTTGAAATCCTTGTATTTTATCCTTGCAACACACTGCAATTTAAACGCTCCTCAGTTCTTTCATTGTCTAATAGCTGCTTATGACCAGTAGCCACTACAGCACACATTAGATTCCCACTTTTCAAATTACCTTTCTAAAAAATGTCTTTCTTTCCTGCTGTCAGAAGGGAAATACATAATAACACAACTGTCTAGATGCAGAGAATATGAGAATTTTGTTTCTCTTCCTTGAGCGTCATGAAGATTATAGCAGTAACTTCTACAAGTTGAGCCAAGACAATATTTAAGATTCAAAAGGCTGGAGATTTGTCAGCTTTGACTTGTACCTGACCAAAACCGCAGCCTCCTGGAAAAGGAAGGGCAAACAACAGAGGTATATGAGTTTTCGAGGACAGAGTCAAGTTGGAAGATGTCCTAACACAATTTGAAAGCCACTTTTTAGCTGCCTCATTTCATTTATGGAAAATGAGGAGGCTTCCATGATGTAGGCCCACATACCAACTTGAGCCAACCCCAGAAAATCTTTGGAAAAGAAAACAGATTCACAGGAGTAAGTGCTTCCTGCTCTCATTTAGCCCCAATGTGCCCCCAGGAAGTAGACTCTCAGTTCCGCTTGACCTGGAAGGAAACTGAGCTCCAGAGGCTCAGTCCACTCCCACACCTGGCATAACTAAAGTCAAACAGAATTCAGTTCAGTTGAACAACTATTTTGAGGTATCTCTTATATGCCTGACCTTGACTAGGAACAAAAGAAGTAGTAACAGCCCTAAATAATGACTTTCATAAGGCAGTGACTTGTATCACAGGAGACATGGGACTCCTTGGAAATGTGATGAAAACTGTGCATTCTTTCCCCAGGGGTTTTGATACACACACACACACACACACACACACAGTATACACTATCTTTACATAAAGTCTACAATTTGAGAGAGCACAGGTTTAAATTCCGATACAACTGGAGGTGAGCCCAATCTGAGTCCGCACACTAAGCAATTGGTTTTCAAGCCCAGTGGAGCCTAAGAGTACAACCCTCCTCTGTCTCTAGATCTGGTTTAAGTTGGAATCCAGGTTTTGCAGGTAGATCTGGAGAAATGCCATAGACGGAGCCCTACCAAGAGTCTCTGTTGTCTTCCTTGCAGGCCGCCTGGACACCAGGCCCTTCTGCAGTGGCCGAGGCAACTTCAGCACTGAAGGGTGTGGCTGCATTTGTGAACCCGGCTGGAAAGGCCCCAACTGCTCAGAGCCTGAGTGCCCCGGCAACTGTAACCTGCATGGTCAGTGCCTCGAGGGACAGTGCATCTGTGATGAAGGCTTCACGGGGGAGGACTGCAGCCAGCTGGCCTGCCCCAGTGACTGCAATGACCAGGGGAGGTGTGTGAACGGGGTCTGTGTCTGCTTTGAAGGCTACGCGGGGACTGACTGCAGCCAGGAGGTCTGTCCCGTGCCCTGCAGCGAGGAGCATGGCAGGTGTGTGGACGGCCAATGTGTGTGCCAGGAAGGCTTTGCAGGAGAGGACTGCAACGAGCCCCTCTGTCTCAACAACTGCTATAACCGTGGGCGCTGCGTGGAGAACGAGTGTGTGTGTGACGAGGGCTTCACAGGTGAGGACTGCAGTGAGCTCGTCTGTCCCAATGACTGCTTTGACCGGGGCCGCTGCCTCAACGGCACCTGCCACTGTGAAGAGGGCTTCACGGGCGAGGACTGCGGCACGCTCACCTGCCCCAACAACTGCCAGGGCCGGGGCCAGTGTGAGGAAGGCCAGTGCGTGTGCGACGAAGGCTTTGCGGGTGCCGACTGCAGCGAGAGGAGGTGTCCTGCCGACTGTCACAACCGAGGACGCTGCGTTCACGGGCAGTGCGAGTGTGATGACGGATTCACGGGAGCGGACTGTGGGGAGCTCAAGTGCCCCAGTGGATGCAGTGGCCACGGGCGCTGCGTCAACGGCCAGTGTGTGTGCGACGAAGGCTACACAGGGGAGGACTGTAGCTGGCAGCGGTGCCCCAGTGACTGCCACAGCAGGGGCCTCTGCATAGAGGGCAAGTGTGTGTGCGAGCCAGGCTTCAAGGGCTACGACTGCAGTGACATGAGCTGCCCCAACGACTGTCACCAGCATGGTCGCTGTGTGAACGGCATGTGTGTCTGTGATGACGGCTACACAGGGGAAGACTGCCGGGACCGCCGCTGTCCCCAAGACTGCAGCCAGCGGGGCCGCTGTGTGGACGGGCAGTGTGTGTGCGAAGACGGCTTCACCGGCCCCGACTGTGCGGAGTTGTCCTGTCCCAACGACTGCCACGGCCAGGGCCGCTGCGTGAACGGCCAGTGCGTGTGCCATGAGGGCTTCACCGGCAAAGACTGCAAAGAGCGAAGGTGTCCTGGTGACTGCCACGGCCAGGGCCGCTGTGTGGACGGCCAGTGTGTGTGCCACGAGGGCTTCACGGGCATGGACTGTGGGCAGCGCTCCTGTCCCAATGACTGCAGCAGCTCGGGACAGTGTGTTTCAGGTCGCTGCATCTGCCGTGAGGGCTCCACCGGGGATGACTGCTCAGAGGGTGAGTACTGGCGTGAAAATGGGCATGGTTACGTTCATGATGGAGGGCATGCCGGGTCCGGGCCAGAGGGCTGAATGCTTATCGACACAGAGTCTCACTTTGTATGTTAACATGTTTATATGAAACATGCGCATGTGGGCACTGACTCTTCCAGGGAGCTGTGGTCATTTACTTGGTACAGAGCTACCTGGTTATGGACTCAAAGGCTCACAGAGGTTGTATAATTTTCCCAAGAACAGACAGCTAACGCCTCATGGAGCTGGTATTTTAGTCTGTCTCACACATTTGTGCTAAGTTTAACATCCAGTGCTGGAGGTGAAGGGATGGTACCCCTTTTGCTAAGAATAGACCTCTTTTCCTACTCCCCACTGACTTTGAACTGATAGCAGACAAAACCCCCTTATTTGGATGGAAGCCATAACTCAGCTAAATTGAACTTACATAAAACAAGTGGTTTTAAATGTACACATGGCTAAAGACTAACTGCTGGTCACCTACAAGGTAGACCTGTTTCTTAAATTGTCTTTTTGTTACTGGTCTTTATCCCAAGGGCTGTGACTCCCTAAAGGAGCACTTTACCCAGCAGTTAGCAAAGGGCATGGGTGGAGTATATGTTCAGGAAAACACTGGTTGGGTGAAAATACAACCAAACAGGACAATGTTCATGTTTAATGGGAGTCTTCTTTGTACCTCTCTCATTCATCCATATTATAATTGTCATCATGAGAAGCTCTGCCATCCATCGGTAGCCAGAGCTCAATGTCTAACATGACCAAAGCAAGGCCACCTGATTAGAAAGAACACCAGGCTAGCAGGGAGGGCACAGGAGTCCCAGACTTGCTGAGGTGAGCGAGCTTGGGCAGACTCAGAACTCACCTTCCCATGCTGACCCTGGACCAGGACCAGAGAGTGGAGAAATAGGGGGGCCCAGGTTACAAATATCCCTGAAGTCCACACTACTGCTGAAAAGCTTCAGCCCAATACAAGAGACTAATGGAATCTAGGGTGAAACTTGTGTTTTAGAGACAATGGAAGCTGGATTTCAAGGGGGGAGCTTCAGACCTCTGTGGATAACCATGGAAGAGACAGAAGTCCAGACAAGTAAATCTAGGGAGATTTTACGTGGCATGTTACTGACTCCAGTCCTTTCTAATTTCTGCCAGTGTCCCCTCCCAAAGACCTCATCGTGACAGAAGTGACAGAAGAGACCGTAAACCTGGCATGGAACAATGAGATGCGAGTCACAGAGTACCTCATTGTGTACACACCCACCCACGCCAATGGCCTGGAAATGCAGTTCCGGGTTCCTGGGGACCAGACATCCACTGTCATCCGGGAGCTGGAGCCTGGTGTGGAGTACTTTATCCGAGTGTTTGCCATCCTGGAGAACAAGAGGAGCATCCCTGTCAGTGCCAGGGTTGCCACCTGTGAGTGAGCTGAGCTCCTTGTGCCTGCTTGCCTGACTGAGTCCACCCTGGGCCCAGCCCTCCCCTGCCAGCAGCTCTTCAACCCAGCAGTTGTCCTTTCATGGTTATACCAAGTGACAGGCCACATCCCAGTGGAGCTTCTCATTTTTAACCAGGTCTTCCTCCTCACTCTCCTCATGTCTTTCCTGCAAGTTGTTCCTTTAAACATCTAGCATCAGCAGAATTACCTTCATACTTGAAGAGCAAGCTGTGGCTAGAAATTGGCCCTTTCTTGCTTCCTAATATTAATATAGGCTGCCAACTTACTGAACTTGTACTGCATGTCAGGAAGCAGTCCCAGCAGTCTATGTGGACTTTATCACTCAGTTCTTAATGTATTCCTAGGGGCAGTCATAGTTACCTCCTTCTCTCGGGCGGAGGCAACTCAAGGCATTTTGTACAACTTACCTAAGGTCAAATATTGGTAATGATGGAGCTTAGATTCTGGCCCAAGTCTGTCTGATTCTAAAGCCTGTGTTTTATTAATGATATGAATTAGCAATTATGCAATCATACAATTAGTCCTAGTATTAATTTTCATCCTGTGTTATAGTAGACAGTGCTCCAGAGGAACCTTTAAAGAATCGTCTTTGGTTATCAGTCTCAGAATGATGGGCATTCATGATGAGCTCAGTGGATTCATGACTGTGTGGCCCCTCTGGACTTCTGCCTGTCCTTACATTCTACTTGTACTCTACCTTACAGACCTGCCAGCACCTGAAGGCCTAAAATTCAAGTCCATCAAGGAGACATCTGTGGAAGTGGAGTGGGACCCTCTAGACATTGCTTTTGAAACATGGGAGATCATCTTCCGGAATATGGTAAGTAAGGAACATGAGGAAGCAGGCATCCTTGACCTCTAGGATATGGAAGATGGCCAAAGGACTCTGAAGACTTTTATAGCACTCCTTTTCTTTACCTTTGGGGGAAAGATAAGGCTATAACTACAACTTTCAAGGTTTGCACATATATTTTAAGTGATGTTCATTTCCCCCTGATTTTAATAAGTCAAAAAATATAGCATTTCAGGCTGAGAGCCTAGACAATTAAAGATTAAGTTATTTCTAGGTTTTTTGTTTTGTTTTGCAAATCTCTACTTGGAGGCAAAGAAAAGAACCATTCTCACCCTCAAAACACCTCCAGGTCTATCTCAGATTTGGGCATCCCTTCTTCCCATGCCCAACAGCTCAGGCGAGGTGGGAGATTTTATTACTGAATTTAAACCCAGGCTTTGATACCAACTATCTGTCACCAGAGGACAATCACACAACTTCTCTGATGCCAGCCTCTTAGTCTGTCAAAGCAAGGGCTGAGTTTGTGGTTTCAGAATTCCTTTGGCTCTCACATTCTGTTATGTAACTTTCCTGTCAAAGCCTGAGTAGAAAGATTACAAAAGGGAGAGATGAACAGGGGAAATACCCGTCATCTTTGTGCCGTCATCATCTAACACACAGCTCTGATACGTAGGAACTGCCTAATTGATAGAAGAAAAAATGAAAGAGGGAGAAATGAATGCAGAATGAATCAGCCATATAAATGAAGAGGCTGGCACCTTCTCTGAGTCTCACCAAGGTGCTCCTGTCTTTCAGAACAAAGAAGATGAGGGAGAAATCACCAAAAGCCTGAGGAGGCCAGAGACCTCCTACCAGCAAACTGGTCTGGCCCCTGGGCAGGAATATGAGATATCTCTGCACATCGTGAAAAACAACACCCGGGGCCCAGGCCTGAAAAGGGTGACCACCACCCGTGAGTATCCTCTATGGCCCATAAGAGCTGCCAGGGCCTCATGTCACCCATTGGGTGATAAAGTGCCCTGTCATCCTACCAAGACTCAGTTTTGCTGATTAACAAAAAGCCCAAATGTTATGGCTTAAAATTTTCTACTGATTCATAATTTGGGGTTGGGCTCAGCTGAGCAATCAGCCTGTCCTTGACTCGATTACACATCTGTGTGGTTTTGGGACTCATCAGCCCAGGATGGCCTCAGCCAAGATGGTGACACTGTGCTACACATGGTCTTCTATCCTTGGGAGGCTGTCCCGGGTGTGTCCATGTGTCTATGGAGCCGGCTCAGGACGGCCCTAGGTCGCTTCTGTCAGAGCAAATCCCAAAGCTAGGCCAGGTTTAAGGGTAGGGAAACTGATCCAGATCTAGATGAGAGGAACTTCAAAGTCACATTCCCAGGGGCATAGATGCAAGGAGATAAGCAAGTGAGGTGGTTGCAAACTATCCACCACATCGTCCAATTGAATTCCAACACACATCCTCATGACAGAGACAAGGCAAGCATTTGTGGGTTTGTTATTTTGGTGGGGTTTTTTGGTGTCTGCATGTTTATTTTTTCAATTTTTATTTTTATTATGCAGTGTGTAATGATGACATTCCTCACTGGGAGTTGGTACATGTACAGAACACATCTTAATTCTTTTTTAATCCCCTTCTCCTCCCTGCCCCCCCACATCTCTTGGTCCCTTCCCTTTTTGAAAAAGATGCATCTCCTCTTTAATATAGAGCAGAATAAAAAATAGATAATAGGAACAAAAGGCAGAAGACCTTTATGTTTTGGGTTTCTCATATAAGAGTAACTGTGATATTTAACCTTATGTGTCTGATTTATTTTACTTGACACTGTCACTCAAGGTGCATCCATTTTCCTATAAATGACTCGTTTATCTTTCTTTATGACAGAGTAGTGCTCCATTGTGTATAAATACCACACTTTATTTATTCATCTGTTGATGGATATATAGGCCACTTCCAAGATTTAGCTATTATGAGTTGTGCTGCTACAAACATGGGTGTGCATGTATCACTGTAACATGATATATTTAACCCATGTTACATTTTAGGAGCGTAAACTGAGGCCTAGAGAAGCTGAATCACTTTAACCAGTACCACGAAGGCCATATAGTTAGGGCCACAGCTTTCAGCAAAGACTCGTTTCCAAACTTTAACCCCATTACCACTAGCATTGAATAGGCTCTGATTTTTGCAGAATATTGATTCCATGTCTTCAACAAGAAAACCTAAATAAAATTTCACTCAATACTAATGTCATCAAAGCTTCTGAGAGTGGAAAAGAACAAAAAAAAGATGTAAGAAAATAATTTTGAATTGCCGTTTAGGAAAGCCTCTTTACTTTCCAAGATAACATATGTGTCACCTTGAAGGAATGGGCTCTTCTTGGCAAGGGATTGTTGGAAAAGTTAAAACTGTTTACTAGTGACAAGAAAAAAAACATCTTGCATTTAAGCATTTGCACATTTTGCCTAGCTTGGGGCTAATTCATAGGCGTCTCCTCCAGAAGCAAGTATTTTCCATCATCCTGACCACATTCCTCTGTGGCATGGAGAAGGCAGGTACCAACAGGAGAAAAATCCTTAGATCACCAGGAAAGCACAGAAAAGATTAAGCAAGTGCCATTCACTGTGGAGAAAGCACACTGGAAATACAACAGACATCTCTTTCACCCAGCTTTTTCTTTTTAATTTCAATTTGAGGATTGGCTGCTTTATTTTCTTTTTACTGAATAACAAACACTCCAACATTTAAAGTTCCATAATCATGTAAATATCAACATTGAAGGACAGATACTGCATCTTGCTAACATATCTGAAATTTTTTCTGGTTTAAAGGACCATAGGCTTTAAATGGAAAAAGGGTTTGCTTCTCTCTGGCAGCTAGATGGAACGTGTATTATAACTATATTGACTGTTTTGACTGTGAATATTTTGAGAGGTTTGCTATATAAAACAGAAAGAGCATGGGCCTTGGGTCCAGTCAGTTGTGAGTTTGAATTCCATCTTCATCATCACTTTGGAAAAGGCCATTTCTTCCACCCTCAGATCCAACATTTGCAAAATGCATTTGCAGCCTCTTCCTCGGGAGACTGTCACAGGAACAGAGTCACGAATGACAAAGCTTCATGCTTGGAACATGACCAGTGTGGAGCAATCATGCTCCACTATCCGGGGAAGTGAATCCAGGCTGTGTCAGTGTCCTTGATGGAACCCTACCTTCCTTCCTAAAAGGATACTAAGGAAGGGGGGGGGCATGGTTAGAGCGCACACTAGCAGCTTAGAAGGACAGGGGACAGGCAGCATCACGATCTGTAGCATCATTTCCATTGTGCCGTTTATGGGTTCATCATCTTCTTCCAGAAGAAACTGATTGATCAAAACCTAGACTTCAAAAGTAGATCGGGCAGGATGTTTACAGTTGCCTATGAATCATTCCCCCTTCTCACAGGCTGCATAAAGCCTAGTGCCTTCTATTTGATACCATTTGTGCAACTAATGCTGAAAAATGCAGGCTTCATTACTTTAAAAAAATAAAGAAAGAAATATTTGTCATATACCTAATACATAACTGTCTCCATGCTGGGGACTGAGAAAGGCCAAAGACTCTTTCTCTGAATGCAGGAATGATCCCATGTAAATTGATCCAAAGTCCAGGGAAATCTGCTACAGGACAACAAGAAGAGTATACTCTTACAAAGCTTTTTGGGGGCAGTAGTGTTTGCCTGGTTGCAGCAGGGATAAAGGAGGCTTCTGGCTAGGATGTCATGTGTGAGATTTTAAAAGGTAGACAGGAGGTTTTGGGCAGAGGGAGTGTGACCTTGGGGAAAAGAAGCATACACAAAGACCAAGAGGCAGTAAACAGCAGTGGTGAGCTCCCAGAGGTCTGAGCAGCATGCTGCTGTCAGTCCAGGACATATGGGAGTGGGTGGGGCAGGAAGCAAGCCTAACTGGACACCAGAAAGAGCAACGATGAGCATACAAGGGTAGTCAAAGAATGATAGAGTTATGATTTTCTTGCCTGAATTTTGATCAAAAACAACTTTCCATGCACCATCCAGATTGTGCAGTACATCAAATTCCTGCTCTATAATTCTACTGGGAACATTACCTGGCATCCAGGAAAGTTTTGCATAATTAAAAAAAATCAGAGAAACCACATCACTTTTTTTTAATGGAAGTCTCCCTCATGCATCTTTCCTCAAATTATGAGAACAATAATGATAATAATAATATTAACAAAAGAAGAGCCATTTATCATGTAACTTCTGTGTGCCAGGCTCTGGGCTAGATGCTTTGCAAGCTTTATCTCCTTCACTGTTTGAAAAGAAAAAAAATACCTAGAGGTGGACATCATAATCCCCACTTACAGTTTAGCGAACAGGAAACAGAGGCTCTAGATAGTAAAATAAAGTCAGGTGCTCAGTAGGGAATCTAAATGTTCACCCATGAGTCTGGACGATAGCAAAGCCCCCTCTCTGCCCAGACCCGGCACTGACCTTGACCCCTGAAGCTGCTCTGTCTTCTGCCTGTGACAGGCTTGGATGCCCCCAGCCAGATAGAGGTGAAAGATGTCACAGACACCACAGCACTCGTCACCTGGTTCAAACCCCTGGCTGAGATTGACGGCATGGAGCTCTCCTATGGCATCAAAGACGTGCCGGGTGACCGCACCACCATCGACCTCACCCACGATGAGAACCAGTACTCCATCGGGAACCTGAAGCCTGACACCCAGTACGAGGTGTCCCTCATCTCTCGCAGGGGCGACATGTCCAGCAACCCAGCCAAAGAAACCTTCACAACAGGTAACAATCACTCTCCAATAACAGTACACAAAGGGGAGGATGACAGGGATTTTCCTATTCCTTTTCCCTTTTACTCAGTAGAGAGTATTGAACTAAGCATTTCTGCATTGAGTTATGTCCCCAGCCTTTTTGGGTTTTTGGGGGTTTTTTTTTTAGTTTTTGAAATAAAGACTCACTTGAATCATAAGTTAGACAGGCTGGGCTCAACCCTGTGATCCTCCTGCCTCAGCCTCCCGGAGTACTGGGATTATAGGCATGTGCCACCATCCTAGACTGGATGATAAGTTTCTATCCCATTCCATGTTTCAGTGTCTTCCAGTCTTATTTTACACTAAAAAAAGAGTGGAGAAGGAATTTCTATTCCTTTACCCTTTTTGAAATATTGCAGCAATTAATGTTTCTATGAAAAACAAATCCAAATAACCCTCCAAAGCACTTTTTTTTGTTGTATACACAGAAGATGTTGGTCTGACATTTTCAGAGAAAAGTTCTGGTTAAAGTAAAATTCATAAAATTCACGTAAACACATTTGAAATAAAACACAGCATACAGGGAACATGAATGACAAAGAAGCCCCTAACCTCTTACCCTATGGCATTATTTTTAAAGTAACAACATGTCAGTGGTCCATTCAATAAATATTTTTTCAGACCTCAGTAAGCACTGTATACGTTACTAGAAGAAATACAGTGATGAAACAAACAGACCAGCTCCAACACGCATGATCTTTTTCATTTTTGTGTCATTTTTAAACACAAAATTTGAGAAAAACACAAAGGATTAAAATGTCACACACATCAATAACAGGAAAAGATGTCAAATCTGAGGGGTTTGTTTAGATTTATGTACCAGCCATGGAGACAGAGAGATGTGTGTGTGTTGGGGTAGGGGGAATTTGTCATTTCTTTCCAGTGGCTGGTGCCTTTTGCATCTCAGCTTGACCTGTAAAAGACCCCTACTCTCCCGGTGCCTGGCATTTTCAATACAAAGATCCCCTCTTCCCCCCAACAGGCCTGGATGCACCTAGGAATCTCCGGCGCACCTCCCAGACCGACAGCAGCCTCACCTTGGAATGGAGAAACGTCAAGACAGCCATTGACAGCTACAGAATCAAGTATGCACCCATCTCTGGTGGCGACCATGCCGAAGTCGATGTTCCAAAGAGTCAACAAGCCACAACCAAAACCACACTCACAGGTGAGTCTGTGTCCACCGTCCAGCAGCCCCAGAGGGCTCTCAAAGGACAGGCACCTGTTCCCATATCTCCCTTATTTTGCAACCATCCAAAGAAAGAAAGAAGCCCAATTCCTAGCAGTTCATATCCACTGGCGCTTCAATACAGAACTTAGAAATCATAGTGTCCAGGGGCCAGATCGGAGCCATTTTTCCATGCCTTCAAAAGCTCACCCAGTACCAGGCTGAATCTCAACCTATGCATCCTCTCTTAGGTCTGAGGCCAGGAACTGAGTATGGTATTGGAGTCTCTGCTGTGAAGGACGACAGGGAGAGTGATCCAGCGACTATCAACGCTGCAACAGGTGAGCACACCTGAGATTCCCTCTACCCTAAAGCTGGCACTGAGTAGATAACACGGGGCTGCCTGGGAGAGACAGAGGACTCTGATGTCATCTAGCACAAAGCCTGCATTCAAAACTCACACAGACAAGTCTGGTGGCACAAACCTATAATCCCAGCTACTTAGGAGGCTGAGGCAGGAGGATTGCAGCATCAAACCCAACCTGGGCAATTTAGTAACTTAGCAAGGCTATGTCTCAACATTAAAAAAAAAATAAGAAAGATAGGGGATGTAGCTGAGGGTGAAAGCCTTAGATTTAATCCCTAGAACCACAAAATAACATCATCATCATCATCATCATCGTCCACGCATGCCCAGCTGAACAATGTTAATAATGCATTCTGTATAGGAAGGGGAATGTGGGATTTAAAAAAAAATTGCAACCAGATTTTAGAAGTAATCTATATATTTAAATTGGCCACCGATTCTGTTCTTTTGATAAGCCATTTTCTAACTAAAACACATCTGAGGGTTTCTCCTTAACACTTTAGAAAACACCTTCATCAAACAGATTATAAACAGAAGGATGACAGTTAAACCCAAGTCCTGCTTTTCTTTGTTTTTGTTTGAATCAGTTTCCCACCATGTAGCCTAGGCTGTCCTTGAATTCATGGTGATCCTCCTGCCTCAGCCTCCCAAGGGCTGGGATTATAGCCATGCACCACCACACCTGGCTCCCAGGTCCTGCTATTACCCATTGCATCCTGCAGCTTCAGCCTCAGGGGAACCCCAGGTGGCGATATAAGATTTGAGGGCATTGTTCTTTCCTCAAGGTTTTTGTTTCTGTTTTCTGGAAAATATGTGTATCAAGAAGAGAACTCCTCCCTCTACCTTTCCACCCATTTCCACCTTACCTCCCCCCAGGTGTTAGGAGACAAAAGGAGGTTGGTGTATAAAGGGTGAGTTGATCTCACTTCACGAGCTTCCACAGGATTCAAGATCCAACGCTGGGCTTTATATACATATCTATGTACAAGTGTACATGTGTGGACATACATATACATTTCTCCAGAGAGAAATAAACCCAGATCCTAGCAAGTCACCTCACTTGAACTCTAGCAAAACAGTTTGCAACACCTCCCAGACATGGAGAAATCTGCATCCAGGGACGAGGTGGGGGCCACTTTTATGATCCCCTGAAATACATATTATAAATAACTATATATAATATTATCTATATATACATACATAACTTTTAATCTTCCCAAATCAGAAAATGTATATATATATATATATATGTATATATATATATATATATTCCAAATACAATATATTATTGTAAGTTCACATACGGTTGTGAGAAATCCTGGAGACCCCTATGCCCTTCACCCAGTTACCTCAAAGTGACATCTTGCGTATTTATAGAATATTATTACAACTGGGAAATTCACATTGATGTAATCTCTCCACTTTATTCAGATCTCTCCAGTGTTGTACACACTTGTGCGTGTGTGTATATACATGTGTGTGTGTTTAGTCCTAGGTGATTTTATAACAGGTGTGGATTTGTGAACCCACTATAGTGGAGACTCTGTAGTTTATCCCAGGAGCCCATGTGCTACCCTTTGTAGCCACAACCACTTCATCCCTCCCCCTCTGCCTGTCACTGGGTGTGCAGTACCCTGTTCCTCGGTTCTGCCATTTGACCAGTGTTACACAAATGGAATTCTATGAGTATTAGTCCATTTGGGCCACTATAACAAAAACATCTTAGTGAAGTGGCTTATAAAGAGAAGAACCTTATATCTTACAGTCTGGAGACAGAAAAGTACAACAGGAAGGTGCCAGCATATTCAGCCTAGTGAGGGCCCTCTTTCTGTTTCATAGAAGTGTCTGTCTTTTTGCTGTGTCCTCACGTGGCAGGCAGGATGCAGAATCTCTGGACTCTCTTGTAAAGCCACTAATCCCATTCACGAGGCCCCCAAAGGTCACCACATACCAGTACCATCACATCAGGGCTTAGGTTTCGAGACATTAATTTTTTACTATAAACACAGGTACAGTCCATATCAAAATATTATATGACCTTTTGAAACTGGCTTGTTTTTTCCTTCAGCATAATTCTTCTGAGATTCACCAGGATTTTTTTTGTATCAGTACTCCAAACTGTTTTGTTTTCATTAGTACATATTTATAGTACATGATGTTAACATTCCTTGTGAAGAATTGGCACAGGTACATAACGCATCTTAATTCATTTTCCAATTCCTTTTAAATACTTTTGAGTAGCATTTCGTGATATGATTATACCACTGTATTAGTTTTGATCTTCCAAATGTACAACAAGGTAATGTATAACTGGGCCTGTTTTGTTAAAGTAGAAACCGAGACTCAGAAAGGTGACTGTCCTGAAGCCACACAGCCCCTGTGGCAGACCCAGGGTTCCAGCCCAGACAGATGATTTTCAGCCCCATGAAACAGTTGTAGCTTGCAGCCTAAAGAGGAGCCATCTCTGTTTTTCTCCCAGAAATTGACGCACCCAAGGACCTTCAGGTTTCTGAAATCACAGAGAACAGCCTGACCCTGCTGTGGAAGACACCAGCAGCCAAGTTTGACCGATACCGCCTCAACTACAGCCTCCCCACAGGCCAGTCAGTGGAGGACCAGCTGCCCCGAGACACCACCTCCTATGTGCTACGAGGCCTGGAGCCCGGCCAGGAGTACACCGTCCTCCTCACGGCTGAGAAGGGCAGGCACAAGAGCAAGCCAGCCCTCGTGAAGGCTGCCACCGGTGAGTCACCCTGGCGCCTCTAAGTCCTGTGCTCATCCTGAGGGCCAAAGTCCCTTTTGGTGAGGTTTTCCTCATGTGACAAACCCAGGTCGGGGAATGTGCTGCTTTCTCTACCCACCAAGCCTCCACATGCACTTCATAGAGGTTGCTCATTGTCTTTCCCAGAGTTAATTCGTCCTGTTGTCAGCTGAGCTACCAAAGGCCCTTAGCCAGGCAAATAGGGGTTCTGAAATATTTCTTTCCAGGAGAGCATACAGCTTCCAGGTTTGTTTTTGTCACGTTGTTGGTTTGTTGCTTCTGTTTTCTTTTAAAACTTGGTTTCACAGAATATTTTAAAGTGCTGATTTTCCTTCTTTAACCTAACAATCAATTTACTTTTCCATATTTAAGGATGACCTCAATGTTGGTGATAACTATTTGGTTGTTTTCTATGAAATATTTTTATTCCAGGTTTTTTTGCCTTCCTCTCAGGCTGCTCCTAAAGAACAGGACAAAGTCCTCTGCCTTCCTCAGTGCCATTGCATTTTCTCTTTTTTATTCATGGTTTTTTGTGGGGTTTTTTGGTACCAGGGATCGAACTCAGGTCCTTGCGCTTGTGAGGCAGGCAGCGGAACCACTGAGCTAAATCCCCGACCCTTTTCTCTTAGTCATTAAGAGCTTAACCCTGTCTAGGCAAGATGACAACTTAATCCTGACCTTTAAAGTCCCTTCGCATTCTTCCTGCTGACTGAGCCACAGCCATGTTTCATCAGTGGCTTAGATGAGGAGACAATCAGAAATATGAGTGGTTTCTTCTGAATGAAAAATAACTCATTCAATTTTGAACACTAAATATTGAAGACATAGGTGGAAAATATTATTTCTTCGGGATTTGGCAAGTACTTTTCTTAACTTAATTTTATTAGTAGGCATCCTACTGCATGCATTGTACTGTCCTGCTATTTGAAGAGAAGTAGGTCATATAGATAGCATTGTTATGTTGACCATGTGCTCCTGCTCACAGTCCTTGGTGAAGACCAGATATCCAGAATGTTAGACACAGCTCAATCAAGGGAAGGAAGTTGTATTCATTGTTTGTTTGTTTGTTTTTTCCATTGCTGGGACCAAATACTTTAAGCCTACAATTTAAAAAAGAAAATGGTTTATTTGGCTCATTGTTTCAGGGGATTCAGTCCTTGGTTGCCTGCCTCCAAGGCAGGAAAATCATGGTGAAAGGGTAGGATGTAACAAAGATGCTTAGTTCATGGTGGCAGAGAAGCAGAATGGGAGAACATCACCAGAGAGATAAGGAGACCAAAAAAAGAGCCAAGGCCAGTCCTCCAGGATCTACCCAGACACATCCCAAAGTGTATTTAACTAATCCCCTAGGCTGCTCCCGTGCCAGCTGAGTTGACAGGCTTAACCATCATAGGGGTGATTGGGAGAGAAAAAGCAGCAGCTGTCATGATAGAGATGAATGTGTCCTGATAAAGATGTTCCCCTACTGAGTCCTGATAATCAGTGGAGGGATTACAATAGAAATATTTTGAAATGCCTTGAAGTGTCTTTGTCATTTAAAATATCTTCAGCCAAATAGAACAGTTGCTTAAATAAGATCATAGTCCATTTCTTCTCATTAAAAGAATTTGGAGCTGGAGCTCAAGGATAGCAAAGTAGTTTCAGATTGTCAGTGATCTGGGCTCTTCTCCCTGTTCAACCATCCTTAGTCATTGGCTCCCATTCTCAAGTCACCTCAGTGTCACAATAGAGCTATCGAAATGCAGAGAACCCAACTCATAAAACAACCTCACCAACCACTTTCCCCCAACTGTCACTTGTCATTCTTAGCTGTCAGTGAGGCTGAGAGCTAGACATCTGCATGAACATGTTGTTGTACCCATAAAATTATGCTTGTTTGTAAGGGAAAGAAAGACATTTGGCAGACAAAGAGCAGTCACTGCCAGGGAGTACAAAGTGAGCCCAGATGGTCAGTTCTGTTAGCTGGGTGCACAGACTGCTGAGGTGATTGTCAGCAGTGCTCAGAAGGGATAGTTTAATCTTCTCCTCTCCCCTCCTCTCCTCACTCTCCTCCCTTTTCCTTTCCTCTCCTCTCTCTCAGCTTTCCTCTGAGTCTGACAAATAGTTTATCAAGAGATTCCTGTCCTCACCATGTTGTGGCACCTTAGCTCCTCTCTCCAGTGGTGCAGCCCCAAACCTGAGCTGCTCAAGAAGATAAAACTTTTGCACTGAACCATAGACAGGCGCTTCTTTGTCTCTGATCAACCCAGTATTGCCTTCCAAACCCTCACCATGCCTCTTTCCAATGCTTTCAAAGAAAGCCCATTTTATATTCAAAAGCATTCCTCATTACAGGAAAAAAAATGCCCATGTTCTTTTGATTGGCTCTTCTCCATTGTCTAGAGAACATTTCCCCCCCCATGGCTTTCTCTACAGAACAATTTTGGTTTATTAAAAGCGGATCAGAGGAGGTTGAAGGTGTAGCTCAGAGGTAGAATCCTTACTTTCCTAGCATGCATGAGGTCCTGGGTTCAGTCACCAACATTACATAAAAAAAGAAATGCGGAGCAGATGTTTCTTTTGCTGTTTTGAATTCTACCTTTCAAAGTCTTTTGCATTAACTAAGTCAATAAAATACCATAACCATGCTCTGTGTTAAGTCCTGGGGCTACTAAAGCAAAGAAGACATACCTGTGCTTCCCCGGACCTCAGGGCCTGATGAAGAGACAGATACCAACACAGCACTCTGCTTATGATGATTGGGCTGGCATCCTCCTGGGATGGAGGAGACATGGGATCTACAGTCAAATCCAAGAGAAGCTTAGCAGAAGCTTGTAGACAGAAACATAAGAAACAAGCAGGATGGTGCCATGGATATGGAAAGAAACAGAATCTCAGGATCTGGCCTAGGAAAACAGAGAGGAAGGAAAAAATAGGAAAAACAAGTCTTTGGGTAAAGGAACCACATGGCTATGAGTCTGAAATACCCAAAGGAACCCCCAGCCATGAATCACAAGAATCACAAAGCAGGTGTCTACAACCCACCATTCATTGTTGGTTTTGTGGAGAAGATAGGGAATTAGAGGCCAGCAAGCATTTTTTTTAGGGAATTCCAAGGCTCTGGCCTTAGTCGGGGACATGCACAAGCCTTTTCCATGATGTGGCATTGTATTTAAAATATGGATAACCTAGCCAACCCATCATGCCTGGAATAGGCCCAAAGACCCTCCCAAGGGTTAAATGGCCCTCTCATCTCTCTGACCTTGCTGCCAGCACTCATGGTCTTGCTCATTTCACCAGGATCACCACTTCTCACACCTTCTTATGCATGATGAGCCTGCTCCCACATCCAAGCCCTTTCAGGTGTTGCTCCCACTTCCTGGATAGCCCGCTTTTCCCAAATGTCCACACAATGCCCTCATTTGTTTCAGTCAGCACAAGCATCATCAAAACAGAAGAGCTTTCTGCCACCACTATCTTGATGTACCCCTCATGCATTCCTAGTGTGCCTGGGGACTTTCATCCACCATGACAGTAGACAGAAGTTGACAGTAGACAGAAGTAGAACAAGTTATGGCTTGTTATCCATAACTTGCCTCCCACTGCTGGCCAGAATGAAGAACTATCTCCTTCATTGACTGCTGTGTCCCAAGCGCCTTGAACAGAGCCAAGCATGTGGTATGTACTTCATGAGCATTTGGAGACCTAGCTACTCAAGAAACAGCATTTCTGTTAAATCCTCTGGTCCAATTTTCCATCTCTACATTCCCAGACAGTTATCTCCCTTGAGGACTAAGGGAAAAGGAAGTCATTCACTCGGAAAGTCTTTAACTCAGCTGAATCTAGATAGAAAAAGAAGAAAAGAGAGTAGGAAGAAAGGAAAGAGGAGTGGAATGAAGGGAAAGAAAGAGAAGGAGAAAGGAAGGCAAAAGAGGGAGAAGACAGAAGGATGAAAGAAGGGAAGGAAGGAAGGAAAGAAGGAAGATACTCTGTTAGCACGGAAGAAAATCAATGTGTGTCAGCAATTTTTCTCCCTCTCTCTGTCCCTATCACTGTCCCTTTCCCTCTCTCTCTCCCTCTCTTCCCCTTCCTTCTTTTCTTCATTTGTATTCTGATAAACTCAATTAAACTCTGTTGAAGGTCAAGGCCATGAATTTTCTATGACCAATACAAGGCCTACAACCGAGACAATGATAGGCAGAAGCACAAGGACAGTGTAGTGTCTTTCCATAGCAACCTAACAGTCCACAGTGACATCCTAGCCATTCACATCAAGTTTGGAAGCAGAAAGTGGAATTTTGTTTTTAATCACAGCTACAGCTTCTACAGAACACTCTGCTCTGCTTTGCCCTTTTGATTGTCTCGTGGAGCAAACCGAAATGTATTCCAATATTTGTTCTCCCAACAAATATTTATTTCCTATCTCCTCTGAATCAGGCAATGCTAGTATATGAAACAGCAGACACAGTCCTTCCCTCAAGAAATGCTGTACACTACAATGAGAAAGACAGAGAATCAACAACAATCTGTTAGAATGTAACTCACCTGCTTTCGACTAGGGACACGTGAAAGCCACAGAGGATGGGGCAGGTTCCCATCACATACCTGGCCAACATGATGAAGAGTTTAGAGAAATTTTGGAAGAGGAGCTACTTGGCTGAGTCCTCACAAAGGCAAAGCAGTTGGCCCAGCAGAGAAGGAGCGATGGCATTTCCAAAAGGAGGGCCAGCATCTGAGGAGAAACTCCACATTCATGAAGTACAAGCCGCACCATTTTGCTTTATGGTAGAGTAGGAGGCCAGCAGGGAGCAGGCTAAAGCCATCATCGGGAACATCCACAGAGAGTCTTGGATGTTATCATCAGATGCTTGAGCTTCTTTCTTTGGCCTACAAACATATATGTGTATGTGTGTTAGTGCATGTTAATTTTACAAAACATTGGGTTTCGTTGTGGCATCTTCATACATGTTCTTAAAATGCTTTGAGAGATTTCATTCTTGTTACAAAGAGTCACCAAAAAGTGTTAACGACAGCTAAAATCTTCCATTTCAGCTATGTTATCTCAGCAAGGTGAGATTGGAGCCATTTAACCTGCTCTTTGGGGCCCTCAGGCTTGGATTTGACCATCTCCCTGCTATGGGAGACACAATCTCCTGCAGAAGTGTCATGTGAGCACTAAGAGTAGGCTTCTCATCAAGCTGGCACTCAATAATTACTACTAAAAGGAAAGTTCACTCCATTAACAGAGACTAAAATCAGGAGATTCTAGCAGCTAGTGAGTGGATGGACTGACAATGGGATAGATAGTGGAAGCTAGAGGGGAGAGATTTTGTCCTTGGGTGGATGGGCTAACACCAGGAGAGAGAGATATTAGCAACTAACTGGGAAAGGAATTAGGCTTATATAGGTATTGAAGGGGCCAAGGAATCTGGCGTGAAATCTTTATGGCTTGGATACCCAAGCATGTTCTGCTCAGGTGTGTACACAATTACTAGACCTCTCTGTGCCAGGGTGTTGTATACTTCCTTTTGTGTCCATTTGCCCTATTTACTGAGAAGCAGCGGTTGTTTGCTAAACGCAGCCTCTTTGTTTGTCCTGTTTGTCTGTGAAGGACTCACTTAAGTCAGACCTGGTAACTACCACCCGTGAGAAGGTGGGAATCTATAAAGATCTGAAGTTGACAGTGCAAGAAATTCCTTCAGGCCAGCTGCTCAACCCACCATGAGCACAGACATGAGGTTTCAAAATTCTGATTTCCCAGGCCCACTGACATTGTTCAGAGGGTAGATTCTGATGCACAGCTGTAAGCAAACAACAATGGTCTTTTCATAAAGAAATGCCAAGAAAGGCAGTGTGGAAGTGTATCATGGAAACATCGGCTTCTGGGGCAGTGAGCCCACGGGTCGTCTTTGCTGTGGGGATGGAGAGTCAACACTACTGTGAAGCTTCTCCGTCCACACCTCAGCTCCCGCCTGATGTATTTTTATTCAGTACAAAGCCCCCTTCCCCTTTCATCATTCTCATTCCTCTCTCTTTCATTTGTCTGTGGATTGTATTTGTGGGAGTTGCACCTTTCACCTATCTGGCAAGCACTGGTTTACGGGAGGGGTTTTAGAGGATATTTATGTACATCATGCACTGGAGGGGTTTTAGAGGATACTCATGTACATCATCAATTGCGGACGCCTCCACAACACTCTCTCAAGTAACAAACAGTGCTATTTCTGGATTTGCCCATCCAAAACTTGTAGGAATAGTTAACGGTTTTCATGAAAGATTGTCACTATCATTGCTATTTACTGACCATAATGGTATTATGAGAAAAGGACTCTTTCAGCGTATGAACAGTTGAAGCAAGATGTAAGGGTCATTGTGTAAAAACACCAGTGACATATGCAAGAGATTCTCGTCAGAAAGAGATGTTTGCCAATGTGATTCTTCTCTCTTTCTAAAAGTCTTTACTGGAATGGCTTAACATGTGAATGTGTAGGCAGCACCTCCCTCCTTCTCTGCTTAGGGGACTCTCCCCACATCATTTGTAACCTGGTTCTCAAGTTTATTTCATGGAACAAATATGCTTTAGGTCATAAGTAGAGAGATAGGGTTTAAAATACAGCTACCTGGAAAGGTGAGATAGTGCCCTTATTTCACATGCAAATATAAATTGTTACTGTCAAATTTCTAACTAGTCATTTTTCACAGCAAGAAAAACAAAAAGAAAGTGAGCTAAGGAGGAAAGTGCAAGAGATATAAAAATTGTGGTTTTATTTTATTTATTCATTTTTGGCTTAGACTTATTTTTGCTCCACCTCTCTGCGTATGCGGACTGCTGGAATATTTGAGAAAGACCCGCCCCTGAGTTTCATTGTACTTAAATCCCAAGGTCAGGTACATAATTGCTGTGCTTGGACCCACTGCTCCTGGCTTCTACCTTGGGTTTAAGGTAGCTTGTAGCTGCCCTCCCTTTCTTTCCCCAAATCAGACACATTACTTTGAGTTTGAGGTCCCTTCCTTCTCCTAGAGACCATGTGTAGGTGATTATAAGCTGCTACCAAGGCTTGGGTATGAGCCGCAAGACATGAATTTCAGTTAAAGGAAGAATCCATAGACTGTAGAATGCAAGCATTTTCTGTACAGAGCCAGATGGTGAATATTTCAGACTTTGCAGGCCATGGAGTTTCTGTCACAGTTACTCAACTGTGCACAAAAACCTGTAGCACAGAAGCAGCCACCGACCACAAGCATGGCTATGTTCCAGTAACAGTTTATGACACTGAAATTTGACTTTCATTTGATTTTCATGAATCAGGAAGCAGCATCCTTCTGTGGGCTTTTTTTTTTAACCAAAGACTTCAAAATGTAAAAACTGATGTCAGCTTGCTAATTACTAAACTAGGTGGCAGGCCAAATATAGCCTTCTAGTCATAGTTTCTGTATCTATGTCCTAGAGCAAATAGACTTAAAAAAGAAAAAGACAGAAGAGATTTAACAAATTTAAGCTTTGTTGATATTAAACAATTAAGAAGAACATCCCCCAGAATTGGGTTAAGATTAAATATATTAATATATTAAATATATTCTAGCAAATAAGTGATTTCCCTCTGAAAGGATGTTCTCAGATTGCAAGATAGTGTTTTCAAGTTAAAAGATTGTTTTTATGGGCACAAAGGGCTCATTTGAAAGTGGCAACAATAGGAGCCTTAAGTAGAAAAATGATTGTTCCTTTAAATGAGCAAAGTCAGTTCTCATTCTCTTGTTTATAGGATCCATTTCCATACATCTTTTCTTCCTAGGTCATGCAAAGTCCACTTAAGCTCAGCCCTGGACAAATACTCCCCTTCATACCAATGCATATAAGTGATTTTTGACAGAAGTTCTATGTCTCAGTGATGTATAAAGATGGAGCATTCCATTTTAATTGGGTTTAGTAGTCTCTGTTTCTCCTGGAGCCTTGGTCTTTCTATCCAGTAAAGGGCACATTTTGAAAGGCTTGTCACCTTTCTCAGTCCAACCTTACTAGTACTGTGTTAATTTACCTCTGATCTTTACTGCAGCACTTAATACAAATGGATCCAAACCCCAGAAAATGACAAAATACCAATAAAAATTGTAATGGACTTTCCAGGAGACACTGAGCCTGCACGGAAACAAAGGGAATCTATAAGTTGCTAATTGTTCCAAAATATAGTAGACTGGGCCCAGACTCCAAGGATAGCTCAAGGCCACCTCCCTAGGATGAGAGATGCTTTTTCCAAAGTTAGAAAGTAGATCCACCAGAGTATCACCAACACAGAAATTTTCTAAACCTTCAGGACACTGATCAATAGGAAAACAAACTTTCAAAAGACAAACTCAAATAAGAAGGCAAAATAAGTTATTATATGGATTTTTTCTGTTGATGTTTTAAAAGGGGTCAGCACCTTTAGGGGAGACAGTGGACAAAATATTACACTCAGATCTCGAGAGCCTTTCAGTGTTGGCAGGAGGTTTGCCATCCATGGGTTCTCAGAAAGAAAGCACTATGAGGAATAGTTCTATTGACCCCAATTTTGTCATTATTCAGAACATGTCCCCGAACTGGAAAATCTCATCGTGACTAAGGTTGGCTGGAATGGCCTCAGACTCAACTGGACCGCTGCTGACCAGCCATATGAGCACTTTGTCATTCAGGTGCAGGAGGCCAACAAGGTGGAGGCCACTCACAACCTCACGGTGCCTGGCAGCCTCCGGGCTGTGGACCTTCCAGGTCTCAAGGCCGGCACCCCGTATACAGTCTCCATCTATGGGGTGATCGGGGGCTATAGAACGCCGGTGCTCTCTGCTGAGGCCTCCACAGGTACCTCCTACTTTTATGTTTAAAATTTCTATTTTTTCCAACAGGAAACTGCCCAAGGACAATCAGACACAACTACTGTTGGAAGGGTTTATTAGTCAGATTTTTCATTAGTGGGACAAAATACCTGACACAAACACCATAAAAGAGGAGAAGTTTATTTTGGTTCCCAGTTTCAGAGGTTTCAGTATAAGATCAGCTTCATCCAAGGCAGAAACATCATACCAGAAAGGTGTGGTGGAGGAAAATTGCATACCTCATGGTGAGCAAGAAACAGAGAACAAAGAAGAGCCAAAGAAAGCAGAAGGGGTTGGGGACAGGATGTACACTTCTGGGTCACACTCCCAGTAACTTTCTTCCTCCAATCAGGCCCCAACTCCTAACAGCACATTCAAATGTGAACTCATTGATGGATGAATCCACTGATGAGTACAGCGCCCCCCTGATCCAATCACCTTCCAAAAGCTCCACCTCTGAACTCATGACTCTTTTAGGAGACTTCAATTCAAACCATAACAGAGGGATTTGTTCTGCCACAAGTAATAGCACCACGGACTCTGATAATGGACAGCCCGGCTATTGGGTTACACAGCTCCACAGCCACCATAACATTTCACTCCCTGGTAACCCTCTCTGGAGCTGTACAGAGGCCATTCTGTGGGACAATCTACCCAGCCTGGAGAGAGGACATTACTCCCAGAAATAGACTCCCTCCTGTTAAAAGATGTTTAAACACTATATTAAAAAAGGAAAACGTGTCACAAAATCCATCTCCTCATCATCCACTGATATTTAAGGGAATTCTTTCATTAGGTAAGAGAACAAGGGTTTTCCCATACCTCTCCCTCTGCTCCATTTCTAAAATTTAGAAAGTTGCATGATATACATTTATCTAAAGAGAGTCACATTTGGTATCAAGTGGTATCAAGCCTTGTGTTCAAGATTTCCTGGATCTTGGTTTATGATATAAACTAGTTTTTTGTCCTTCTCCAGGGGAAACTCCCAACTTGGGAGAGATCACGGTGGCCGAGGTGGGCTGGGATGCCCTCAAGCTCAACTGGACTGCTCCTGAAGGGGCCTTTGAGCACTTTCTCATTCAGGTGCAGGAGGCTGACACAGTAACAGCAGTCCAGAACCTCACAGTCCCAGGAAACCTGAGGTCCGTGGACCTGCCAGGGCTCAAAGCAGCCACTCACTATAGAGTCACCATCTGTGGGGTCTCTCGGGACTTCAGTACAACCCCTCTCTCTGCTGAAGTCTGGACAGGTATTCTATATTAATTCACTTATCTATTCTGTCTCTTTTGTTTCTGTTCAGGAGGAATCAAAGCTCCAAATTGGGGTTAGCTCCTTCCATGTTGTGGAAATACCAGTGATTCATTCTTGCTTCTCCCCAAATGTCACATCCCTTATTTGGCCAAGTTCTAGTCATGGCCTGGTAGCTAGTTCCATGGAAAATTCCACCTTCTCTTCCTTTACAAGGAAGAGGTGACTGCTCTTGCAAAGTTCCGGTCATAATATCTAAGAAGTTGGAAAGCACAACTTGTTACTAAAAAAAACAAAACAAAATAGTGCTGAGTTCATTTTAAGAACACTAAAGGACTCTCTGAAGTCCTAGTTGTATAGCAAGAATGGAAGTTGTGAACAATTACTAAAACCACCTTTCATTCCCAAAGGCTGAATAGAGAAGCTCTGGCCTCAGTGCCAACAATGAGAGTGTGCAGAGCTTTAAATCATGCATCTGGGATCAACACTAACCAGACAATTCATCCCAACCTTAGCCAAAATGTCATCTCACCTGAATCCCATAATGCAATTGCCTTTTTTAGTAACTCAGAAACTCTGTGTCCTTATGCAGAGGAGGTTCCAAGTCTGGGAAACCTCACAGTGACCGAAGTTAGCTCGGATGCCTTCAAATTGGACTGGACTGCACCAGATGGGACCTATGACCAGTTTGTCATTGAGGTCCAAGAGGCTGACCAGGTGGAAGGGGCTCACAATCTCACCATTCCTGGCAGCCTATGTTCCATGGAAATCCCAGGCCTCAGGGCTGGCACTGCTTACAGGATCACCCTGCATGGCGAGGTCAGGGGCCGCAGCACTCAACCCCTCGCTGTGGAGGTCATCACAGGCATACAGTACTCCTTCCAGACCAGGGATGTGATAGGAGCCAGGCTGTGACTGCACTAGAGTTGTGGCAGAGCGTCCAACCTCAATACAGTTAACAGGGAGATGAATCTCCAACTAAGGAAAGCCTTGGCTAGAATCCATTTTACTATCTGAATATTCTTGAGTATATCACTTTACATCTCTGGGCCTTCTTTTCTCATATTCAAATCAGAGATAATATCCTCACTTCAGAATACTGTCATAAGCAATAAACAAATTCATGAACAAAAGTACTTAACAGAGTACCCTACACATGATTAGTATTGAATAATAGTTAAATATATCAATAACAACAGTCATAATGGAATATAGCACATGCACTAGGGCTGTGGAACAACCATATATATAGATCAGAACTTTCTGGAGGAATCTTATCATTCCTGACCTCAGAGTCACAAACTCACACCCTCACACCCAACTCCTAGTCTGGTCTCTACAGACTTTGGAAATGATGTAGTCATCTTTTGCTGAAATTTTCAAGTCTATCTCCTTAAGTTTCCCAAGGCAAGGATATTTCCAAGAAAGGGCAGCACATTTGAGTTCAGTGTTTTTCATTCAATTTGGGGAGAATAAAAAGCAATTCATCTCAATTTGTTGGCTGAAAATACGCTGCTTCATCTATCATGGAAAACTGTATGGTCTTTGTGAGGCTTCTAGAAATAGCTTTAAATAGGGCAGTGTACATAAGGATATACCTAAGTCGGCCAGGTTACCATTGCCCTGTGTTTCTTGGACTAGCTTCAAACCAAACAAGACCAAAATGGACCTTTGAGACATGTACAATCTTGGTACAGGATACTAGTGATCTACATTTGTAGACTCCAAAATTTTGTTTTTAAGCAGCAAACTTCTTTAGCAAATAAAATCTCCTTAGGAACTCCTTTATGTGACAGATAAACAGCTGTTCTTGATAAGCTAGGAAAGAAGAGAGGGCAAGACTGCATCTGTCCCTAGAGCAATCCTTCCAGAAGGTTCCAGGTGTGTGTAGAACATAGTTTGAAAACAGCCCCCTAAAAGGAAGAACTTGCTCAGATTCTCACAGTGTGCTGGATCCTGGGAAACCTGAGAACATGAATCCTCTGTCTTTCCTCCTCCTCCTCCTCTTCCTCCTCCTCCTCCACCTTCTCCTCCTCCTCCCTCTTTTTCTTCTTCTTTTGATTAGATCCCTGTGAATAATTTTCTCTCTAACTTTAAATATGTGGCCACTTTTGCCTTAAGAAGATAGGTTGAGAGACTGTGTGTAACCTTTAGCAGCATCTCACAAAGCAATGGAGTTTTCCATGCTCCCATTACAAGCTTTTTAATAAGCAATAATAACTACATTAAATTTCCTTCCTATATTGTAAAAAAACAATTAATGGTGGACCCTGCTCTGCACCATTTACTGAGAAAAACATAACCACTTTTAATTAAAAGCAAGCACACTCATTTCACATAAACAGCCTTGCTCATGAAGCAAGTGCTAGCAGAAGCAAGTGGGAGGGGAGAACCAAACCAAGAATCTACGGCATGACCTCTGATCCCTGAAAGCCAAGAAAAGTCTAGAGATAAAACATCATGCTTGTCCGAACGTGAGGCAGCATATGCTTTATGAACCCAGACAGCATGTGGCCAGCAGTGAAATGATCAAGCAGTGAAATAAAGCAGGCAAGACTTTCTCACATGACCAAAGAAACTCCAAGGGGAGACACGAGACACCTAGCGATGATATTTACTGGGTCATCAAGTAAGACATGAAGAGGTGATGAATGTTATCATTTAATCACCACACAATCCAATCAAAGGGTTCTGGCAGCTCTATTTAAATGTAAAGAGAATGAGGCTCAGAGAAGCAGGTGATATATCCAAGATGACACAGCCAGCCAGTGAATGCCACTATTGCAATTTTAACCAAGGTCTGGCTACTTTTGAATTTTGTACTTCTCACCATGCCCACTTCTCTGACCTTGACTCCCAAACTCCTCTTTCTCTGTGCCCTTTAGCTGTTGGCCTTGCATGCTCAGGAACTTCTGGGTGAGTTGTACACTGTTCTTTACCATCTCAAGGATGAACAATACAGCTGTTTTCTTTTTTTCACCATTTTCAGTTTCTGATGAAAGCTGTAGAACACCAAGTTCAACCTACATATACCCAATGACTAAGAATTACCAAAAAATAACCTCTCTCTCTCTCTCTCTCTCTCTCTCTCTCTCTCTCTCTCTCTCTTTCCCCTTCCTCTCTTTCCTGGATATGGGCTCTGGGACTTGATTTCTTCATGCTTGATTTGTAGTACTGACAAATATCTCTCTGTCCTTCTTCAGAGGAATTCCCCCAGCTGGAACACTTAGCTATGACTGAGGTTGGCTGGGATGGCCTCAAACTCAACTGGACCGCTGCTGACCAGCCATATGAGCACTTTGTCATTCAGGTGCAGGAGGCCAACAAGGTGGAGGCCACTCACAACCTCACGGTGCCTGGCAGCCTCCGGGCTGTGGACCTTCCAGGTCTCAAGGCCGGCACCCCGTATACAGTCTCCATCTATGGGGTGATCGGGGGCTATAGAACGCCGGTGCTCTCTGCTGAGGCCTCCACAGGTACCTTCTTCTCCGCTTTCCACGCTTTCTTCCCAAGGTTCCCTGCTTCTGCTTCAAGAAATGAAATGGGCAGCCAGCTTCTCTCCACAACTGAATCCTTTCCATGTTCCCTTCAACTGCTGGCCATGCATGCTCAGAAGCTTCCTTGTATGCTGTCCCCTGGTCCAAAGGCTTTCACATGGCAATGACGATCAGTGCAGATATTGCCCTTCTGCTCTCCAGTCCCCCAGCCTCTATCTACCATACTTTACCTTGCTAATCCTCTAAGGATATCTCCTCCTCATAAGGGCTTTGTGTTTCAGGAATCAGCCTGATGGTTTTAATTCTTTTCTCCAAGTGCTGCCATCTAACAAAAAGCCCACCCTCCCCATGTGTAAGTTCTGAAGGATCACAGTTTATTTACTTTAGAAAGTCTTTTGCCACTTACAAATGGTGCTTTACTATTTCCAGATCCCTCAAGGGCATGGGGCCTGTGGTTCTTGCATTTAAGAAATGTTTCTTTAAAATGCATTGAACAGAACAAGAGAATTGAATTACCCTCCTCCAAGCCATTCTCTCAGATACTGAGTCTTTGTTAGAACATCAAATTAGCAAATTGCTAGACTAAAAAGAAAAAAAAAACCCCACAATTATGAGTGGAAACTGTACCAAAGAGAAAGCTATTCATTAGCAGAGATACACTCAGCAGCATCTGAAACAAGGAATGTCCCAGGCTATGAATGAGAAAAGAACCGATGGCCTTTTTGCTCTTTGAATTAGGATTTTCTCCCTGGAATATTGTCCTTTAGGTGGCAAACTCCCAACCTCACACCCAGTGGGGGTGCATTACAGTTTATTCATCACTGTTTCCCCAGCTCCTAGGCTTGAGAGTTTTCCCCAGGAGCCTGCTAAAGTGAGCAGCCTCCCTCCCTCCAGCACTGTTTCCCTCTACCCCTCTTTACAGACTGCCCCAGTTGGTTTGAAGCTCAGTAGAAGCTGTGCTGCTTCCCATTGCATCTGGCTGCCTCCTTTTTTATATAATTATTGCAACTAAACTTCTATGTCAAACCTGCATCCATCCTTGATTTAAAAGCATAGCTCTGCAATTCAGCCACAGTCATTTCAGTGGCCCTCACTGAGACAAACATAAAACCCAGACAAGCACTATGTAGACAGTGACCCTAAAATGCCCAGAATTTGCAGCTGAAGCTGCCCTGAATGTGCCCTGGGCTCTTTTATCTGACATGCACAAACCATTTCTTCCCAGAAGGCAGAGAAATCACCTACCACTTCTGATCTTTCTTGCAGATCTTGTGGTTTGGACACTGTTAGTATTTTTATGTGTATGTATGTTTTTCTTTTCAGTGGTAGCAACATTCTTGCCTCTGATGAGTTGGCCTAGGAAGAGGAAGAGGCATAGTCCCATCTGATCTGTGTCTCAACAAATAAGTTAAGATGGTCTCAGAGAGCAGGAGTTGTCTGCTTTGCTAACAACATAGCACAAGTTTTTCAGGCCCTGCCTCTGCCTGCCTTCTGCATCTTTTATTCCTGTTGCTCAGAGAAGCACGAGCAGGACCATCTCCAACACAAAATAGTATTTCTTGGCTAAAAGATTGCTTAAACTGCCTTGTTGGCTTAACTCTCTTGGTTGGCAATCCAGTACTAGCCTTCTTGGCCCACGTACATATAATTACAAGGGGACAGGCTTTTTTAAGAGTAAAAGAACAGCTGGCCGGTCCTTATCTGAAGTATGAAAAAACACAAGAATTACACTAAGAAAATTTATGAAGCCCCACAAGTCAAATAATCAGAAGCCTCAAAGTAGCACCTTGGGAGGGCAATCGTGTCAGAATTACTTAGCCATCACTGGAACAGATGGGCGCACTCTCAGAGCAAAAGATGTCTGAGGGAGCTGTTCAAGTAATCTCGGGCTCCTGGGTGCAGCTCAAGAGACTGGAAACTTCCAGCCCTCAAATCTTTGACCAATGGCCAGAAACCCTGCTTTAGGGCTCTTGGAGACAGGTGTGGCTAAGATAAAGCAGCTCCCCTGACATCATCCATCTGTCTTCTCTCTCAAAGGACCTCTCCAGGACATGAGCATGAGTGGCGAGTATAGAGCAGGGAAATCTAATTGCAATAGTTTGTCTTTTAAATGTATCTCCTAACAAAACCCCTTTTTCTTCTCTCAGGAGCACTGATCAATAACATTGCTTCATTTCCCAATAACTCTGACCTATCAGATCTTTCTTCCCAGCAATGGTTCTCTTAACTTCAGTCTTAAAACATGGCCAAGTGAAAAACTCAAATATATTTGTTTCTTCTCTCCTACCCTCCCCCTTATTTTGCAGCCAAAGAACCTGAAATTGGAAACTTAAATGTTTCTGACATAACTCCCAAGAGCTTCAATCTCTCCTGGACAGCTGCTGATGGGATCTTCGAGACCTTTACCATTGAAATTATTGATTCCAATAGGTTGCTGCAGATGGTGGAATATAACATATCTGGTGCTGAACGAACTGCCCACATCTCAGGGCTCCCCCCTAGTACTGATTTCATTATCTACCTCTCTGGACTTGCTCCCAGCATCCGGACCAAAACCATCAGTGCCACAGCCACCACAGGTACATGTGCATCTTCCCATATCCAATACCTCTCTCCACAGTTCTGCCTGCAGGGTGAAGCCATCCTCCGCTTAGTCCCCTGGAGTACAAACTACAGTACACCAACTCTTCTGTGATACTGCACTGGAGCACTATTTAACCCAACTCTCTCCCAACAGCAGTCCCAGTGGTGGATTTTCATACAGCCATATGCCTGATTTATCACTGAGCAGAACATTTGTGGTGTAAAATGTAATTTTGCATTGCCGTGTGGAATCTGGAGAAAAGAATTCTCCCCTTTGGTAACTTCAAAGCCATAATGAGAGCTGTCCTCATTGGGAAGATGTCTACCTCAGTCAAAGTAGTTTTACAATTATATTTTTGTGATTTTTTTTTTTTTTTTAGTATCTTTGTCTTCCTAGAGTCTTGAATCTCCTCATACTTGAATATCCCAATGATTTAGGAAAATCACTTGTAGTGTTGTTTTGTTGCAAACTGGGAAAATGAAGAGAAAGAACAGATGAATGCAGAAAGTAGCTACACTATCCAGATTGCCCCAAGTTCAATACTACTTCTAAGAGAAAACACCGAACTCTGCTACTTTATCCCCAGAACACTGAATGGTTCCTGACAAAAATAAAAATAGAAATGGTCATGTTTCAACAAGGAGCTTATTTAGAAAAGGTTCTCATTTTGAATTTGTGATGCCTGTGGGGGAGTGTCTGTGTGTGATACAGCACACATACACAACACACACACATAAACATGTTCATTCTAAGGATTCTGTCGTGTAGTAAAAGAGAATCCTATGTGAATGTAAAAAAGGAGACCTCTGTCCATTCAAAATAACATTCTTAGCTCATTTTAGACAATGCCTTCTCTTAACAGGTAAACTAAAATATTACATAATAGGAGAAACGATATCTGTGGAACAAACACAGGACAATTTTTCCTTACAGTTCACAAAGCGGGGCCTGTTTGCTGCAGAATCCAAGAAAAGAGTTGAGATCGTAGCACCAAAATCATCTGTCACTTAGGTTGCCCATGGTTGAGGGAGTCTGTCTTTATTCTGTCTGAGACTGCAAAGTGTTACCAGGGGGGTCCTCACAAAAGGCACAGTGCTAGCATTATTTAGTTCTCAGCTCACCTGACTAAAGTATAACAAAATCTAAGGGAGAAAAATAGTTGATCGTATTTATTTAGTTCAGATTAGTTTTCAAGAAAAGACAGTTTCCTTTTACTAGAAGTTAAAATTGAAAATGTTATGGATTTAGTCTTGTGGGGTTTTTTTAATTAACATGGTTGAAATTGACATACTTTAATATTTTTTCTTCTCGCTCTAGTAGCCGAACCTCTCCTTAGCCACCTCACTGTCTCAAATGTGACCTGGGGAAGTGTGGCCATCTCCTGGCAAGCTTGGGAGGCTGCCTTTGATAGCTTTCTTGTAGAAGTTAGTGATTCTGACCACCCCCAGGAGACAGTGTCACACTTCCTGCCTGGGGTGTCCCGCAGCTTTGTCATCACCAACCTCCAAGCTTCTTCTCATTACACTGTCCATCTCCATGGACTAATTGGAGAGCAGCCTTCTCAGACCCTGATGGTCCAGGCAACCACAGGTATTTCCCATTATGGTTCTTCTCTCTCCACAAACTTCAGCTACCAACTTTTCCTCCCTTGTCTCACCAGATCCTCCTCAAGTTTGATGGAGCCAACTAAGTCAAAGTTGGAAAACTGTAAAATAACCTTCACCCCAAATTAAGGAGCTTCAGTAGCCAACCTCTTTTTCCTAAATATCAACTCCCATCTGGAGCTGCTCTGTTTGTTTGTATATAATTAATGTGACTTGCTTTGTTTGAATTTTAAACCATCCTTTCTTCTGGTCTTGAATAATCTTTTCCTATACTTCCCATGATCTTCTGCCTGTGTCTTTCTAATCAAAGTTCGCCTGTGTCATATTCATAGAAATAAGTGCATGCTGTTTTCGATTCCTTGGTGAAAACAATCTACAGTGTCTTTCTGTGTACTAGGATTTTAAATAATGATTCTCCCAGCATGCTTAAAAGAGACGGTAGATCCCAATCTAAGAACTGCATGAGAGGACTCAGATTGTCACCTTGTTCTTGAGGTTTTCATTTGTCTGGATTCCCTACAAACAGACTGGTCTCTTTTGACAGTTACTGTGTCAAGCATGTGTTGCCATCCACTAATATCTGCTCCAAAATGTCAGAATCTTCTTTCCATTCATCATCTTCTGCAAATCTTGATGCATGTGTAAATATTCAGAGCATTAGTATTTTGAACATGTCTATCTCTCCTGGAAGCAGACAGCATCTCAAAGAATTGTTTCTTTGGCTTAGGAGGGTTAGAAGTGATGGGAGAAAAATATCCCTTCTTGCATGAAAAATTGAACACACACTAACTAGCATTCTCGTTCTGAGTTTTTTCCTTTTATCTCACATTTCAGCTTAGTTGTATCCTTTGGGAGTCAGAGGAAGGTAAAACTGACCTCTAGTTCCTAGGTCTTATTCTGCATGGTGAATGTGTTCACAATGCCAGTCTTTTTCTAGTAGCATAAAAAGAATCTCAGCATACATCCTTTATGTGGGAGGTTGCTTCTTTAACAAAATATAAAGAACAGAATTCCACTGGGAAGATTTTATCCTTTATGTTTTTGAAGAAAAAAAACTACAGCATCATTAGCTTTGCAAACTAATTAATTCATATAAAATTCCATGTCATTGTATATGGCTATATTCTATTTCTGAGCCAGACATTTGACCTCAGAGAGTTTAGAACGTCAAGTTATCCTGTGCAGATGTGCAGCTAAAGTTTATCCAAATGAGCCTTTTCTTTCCTCCAAATCTGTAGCTGAAGTAAAGCAACTCCCAACTTGTAGGAAAAAATAGTCTGCCTCTTGCCCACCCCAAATCCTGCTCCAAATATCTCAATTCTCCAAACTCTTGCTTCTGTCTAAAATATAGTCTGGCCTGAACTTTTTTTAATATTAGTACTAAATGATAAATGAGCATTTAGAAAGACCAGACTCATACACACTCCAGTTAAAAAAGGCATAATGCCCCTTACATTAAATGAGTTGTCTAGACTTTAAGGAGCAAGAAAAAATTTTCCTCCATCTATCCAAATTAATTAATAAGTAAATTTCCTAATTGAAAAAACACATTGTTTAAATTCAAGTTTCCTCTGGCTTCTGCATCCACCAGGATTTTTTTTTTAATAGAAGTCATCTTCATCTTTATAGTATTTAGGGTGATATATAAATTTTTCTATAATTCGTAATTGTATTTCTAAATACCATTGAAGAATTTCTCATATATAAATGCAGTCTTTAATTTGTACAATCCAAATAGATCAAAGAAAACTCCAAAGGGTATTTTCTAAAACATGCCCAGTGAAATACTAGCCCCTTGAGATGTTCAAAGAATAGCCTGAGACAGGGTGTCATTGATCTGTAAGTTCATGAAATGTTGGGCTAAACAAAATTAAACAGATTTATCCACAGAAGCAGCTCATCAGAGCTTTTTAATGCAAGCATGCTCTGAGAATCTCTAAAGTGAGGAAACTATCTTTTCTTGGAACATCTTATAGGGCTAGTTCCCAGTTACTAACTTTGGAAAATGTAATCCTACCTATCACTCTAATGATGTATTCATTTTTCTTCATAGATGATTAGCATGTGGTCATGCCTATCCCTTAAAAGCATACAAATCCATACTGGGGTAAATAGCAATATATTCTGTTATAATCAATGCTGGTGTTGACACAGCCTAAGATACTATCTTTTCTGCGAACATTTGGAAATATTGATGTATTCATGTTCTGTGCCATATTCTGGGGAAATCTGCTTCCTCTAATAATGTCTCTCTCTCTCTTTCTGTTCATGTTCCTCCCACCTCAGACTCAGAGCCACAGCTGGGCACGCTAATCCTTAGCAGTGTTACTCCTGACAGCTTCAACGTGTCATGGACCACTCAAGCTGGGCTTTTTGCAAAGATTGTTATCAATGTGAGCGATGTTCACTCACTGCATGAGTCCCAGCAACTCACGGTCCCAGGGGATGCACAGCAAGCTCACGTCACAGGCTTGGTGGATGATACCGGCTATAACGTTAGTGTGGCAGGGACCACCTGGGCCGGTGAGCCCTCCAGGCCCCTCACTGCCTTTGTCGTTACAGGTATTCAGGGCTTCTCACTTGTCTGTTCCAAAGCCTGACCCAAGGAAAGATAGGCACTGTAGAGGAAAATTCAAAGCAAAATATAGTCTTCTCTCCAAATGTAAACTTCTCTGCTTTTATTTTTAACTGGAAAATACAATTGTATACATTTAAGAGGTACAAAGTGACGTTTTAATATATGTATACTCTATTTACATGAGTTCAACTTCTTAGATTCCCCATATAAGTGAGATCGTGCAGTATTTTTCTTTTGGTGCCTGATTTATTTCACTTAGAATAATGTTCTCCAGTTTCACTTGGATAGTCACAGATGACAGATTTCTCTCTCTTCTAAGGCTGGCTGGTATCCCATTGTGCGTATTTACTGTCCTTTCTTCATCCATTCATGCACTGATGGACATTTATGTTGCAATGCAGCACTTTTCACAATATCCATGATATCACATGTGAACTTCAGAGGGAAAGAGTGGCTACTCCTAGAAAAGAGAAGTCCCTGGCAGCCAATTTTGAAAGTAGAGACAATGTTTCCAACAGTGCATAAAACTTTCAGAGATTTTTTTGCCCAGTTTTATAAGCTGCTTTATCCACAAAGTGGAGAATCGGGCTAAAGAGTGAATTTTAATTTAGTAAATGTACAGGCCAGGAATTTTGTCCATAAGTCATGCTAAGTAAAGGCAGTTCATTAGCAACCTACCCCAGAAATATAATAATCCTTTTTCTTAAAAAATTGTATTCCTCAATTTCAAAGTACAAGAGATTGGTAAAGGTTCAACCTAGGATGGCAGATAAGTTCTAAGATTAATTAAATCTCATTTATTTATTTATTTATTTGTTTATTTATTTATTTATTCATTTATTTATTTTTTGGTACCAGAGATCGAATTCGGGACCTTGTGGTTTCAAGGCAGGTGGCAAAACCACTGAGCTAAATCCCTGGCCCAAATCTCACCTATTTATTCAACTTGACTTATAACTTCTCCTTGAATTACATAATGAAATGACAGCCTATCCTAAGACAATCATGAAGGATGCAAGTAATGTCAATTTACCAAAACTTTCAGGTTGAAAAAACAAAAATATTTAGAAGTCTCCTATCTTCCACTAATGGTAACTTTCAGAAGACAGATCTTGTCATCTGACTTTCACATTGAATAAGTCTCTGCCACTGTCTAAATTGCTATCCATGAGATATTTCAAGAAGTACAATTACATATTTGTGTGGAAGCAGTATGGTGTTCTAGAAAAGTGAGGATATTGAGACTGAGCCTCTCCACATCTTCTTAGCCAAGTAAGCTTGGCAAGTTCCTCCCTTTTCTAGATCACCGCTTCCCTTCTGCATGGATCATAGATACTCACAGTGTCTCTGGGATGCCATTTCAGAGATTAAGCCAATCTGATGAAATGTACTTGCCTGGCATCCATCCAGTGAGTATTTTACTGATGCTCAAGCATTTCTGCTATCTGCCAACAATATGATGAAAGCGGTGCTGGTAAAAGTAATCAACAAGGCTAGCAGTGTTGTTCGGTGGTGGAACGTTTGCCTAGCGTGCACAAGGCCTTGAGTTCTATCCCCAGTTCTGCAAATAAATAAATAACCAGCCTAGATACTAAAACAGAGCTACGCAATCACGACTTCCCTATTATTTGTAAGGCTGCATGGGATGTATTTTAACTTAAGATTTTAAAGTGCTTATTTTTTCTGCCCAGTTATCTAATGTGAATGAAATCATTTAGATCAGCCTTCCTCCTAATTTCTTAAGGAGGCTGGGAGGAGTAGCCATGAGATGAGTACTTGATTGCCTCCAAGGAGAAGCATGGCCACAGATTCCATCAGGCCCTTGCTGGTAGCCTCCTGCAGGACCTCCCACAGAATAGACAGAAGAAAGGGAGGCTGAGAGAGCTGGTCTCAGGAATCCTAGATCCAGTTACGGTATTGTCTCTACTAATCCGCAATGTGAAAAGACTGTGTTTTAAAAGAAGCATATTGAAAAAGAAAAAAAAATGAACAGGAGGATCTTGAAAAAACAAGCCCTTGATTGACTAATTAGCCTGAAAGACCTCATTTTTGTGGGAATTAGCTGCTTCGATGGCGTGGAGGTGCAAAGAGGCCAGTTATCAAAGAGAGGCACTGCTTAGCTAAACAAAACCAAGCAACAGAATTTGAGACCCTGGTCTGGCACACCAAGAAGACCTTTTATGCAGTATATGTGATTTCATCTTTGTCTTTGATAGAGTTATGATTCTTGGAAATTCTTTACATGGAAAAAGTACCTGCAAATAAACGTCAAGTGCTTCAAAATAACTACAGGAAGTCCAAGCCACAGCAAAACTTAAGTGTCTGCTTAGGGAATGAGGGCATTTGTTCATTTATTCATTCAATCACCAAACACTTCTTTTTAAACATTTTTCTTTGCATCCCATGGAGTAGGCTGTGAGCATTAGTGCAAGGTCATTTACTCTTTGAAAGTTTCCATTTAGCTACAATAGAAAAGAAAGCTCTAAACTAGATGCCACTGAAATGGCCTTGGCCATGGAACTCCCATCCCCTTGCCCCTTTGATAAAACATAAATACAGTGAGCATCTTTGAGAGTTGTTTTACTATGGAGGAGGTGCTGGACCCTCCCCACTAATCCTGCCTATGTCTCAGGACTTGCCAGTACCAATGGATGGAGTTTACTAATTAGACATTGGCTCAGGATATGGAAAGAATGTACAACTTAGAGTCAAAACACCCAGTTGGATCCTAGTTTAGCCACCTGGTAGATGTGTGATTTTTGATAAGTTATAGCCTCTCTGTTTACTTAAATGTTGTAGAAGTCAGGGACCAGGCAGGTAGCAATACCTACCTTACAATATCGTTGTGACTCATACATAGGAAAAGAATGTGAGGCCTCCTCAACTGAGAAGTATTGATGGAATCTGAGCTGACATAAGCTTATTCCTTTGGGACTCCCAGTCTGTGCAAAGACTCCTGAGCATCTGGGAAGTAAGCATGCCTAGAACATAGATGTTTGATGAATGAATGGATAAAGGATGATGGGAGATGTCCTTGCTTTCTAACTTTATCTAGGAAAATAAACTGCAAAAAATGAGCAAACCTTAAAACTCTTCACTGGGCCACAAACATAAATTGTTAATCTTGATAAGTTATAAAAAATCTTACTGCCTCCTCTTATTTTTGCTAATGAGGATGTGTTACTGATTGGCTTGATGGACTTGATTCACAATATGAACTAGAAGTGAGATATGAAGTATGCTAAAGGAAAGTGTGCGTGAAAAAAAAAAAGCAATGTGCTTCAAAAACCAAAGTAGATAGAGGTGTCCAAACCCAACACAAGACATCCTTTCTGTATGGGGAGAAATAGGTGGGTTCCACAGTCAGACTCAGCTAAAAACTTTGATCCATCACACACTAGTTTGGGACTTTTGCCAAGTCAATCAACTTTTTGAAACTCAATTTTCTCACCTATAAAATGGGAATAGCACCTATCCCTTCGGTGTGCTAAGAGAAATATACTAAGGACAGTATCTGGCATCTAATAAGCTCTGAATCAAAACTCATTCTCTAAATATATAACACATTGGGCAATTTATTGGGAATCCATCAGTGTTCTTGGAAACTCGTGGTATCCTAGCAAAGTCAGCTCGGCTAACCTGAGTTATTTTTACCTTCCCTTCTTTCAGAGGCCTTGCCCCTTCTGGAAAATTTAACCATTTTCAACATTAATCCCTACGGGTTCACAGTTTCCTGGATGGCATCGGAGAATGCCTTTGACAGCTTTCTAGTAGCGGTGGTGGATTCTGGGAAGCTGCTGGACCCCCAGGAATTCACACTTTCAGGAACCCAGAGGAAGCTGGAGCTTAGAGGGCTCATAACTGGCATTGGCTATGAGGTTATGGTCTCTGGCTTCACCCAAGGGCACCAAACCAAGCCCTTGAGGGCTGAGATTATTACAGGTATTTCAATTCAAGTGAGCCATTCTCCCCTCTTGCTGGCCCCCTTCCATGTGGTCTGTGTCCAGGATCACCATGATTTTAACATCTTTGTCCAAGAATCTTCCCTGCTTTCTCCATAGATGTGACCTGCTCTTTCATGTTATCCCCACAATCCTTTTGTCTTATGTTATCTAATGAGCACTCCCCACTCCCACCCCAGAAATGAGAAGGTCGAAATGTTTCCACTTGGTGCCCCAAATTCTTTAGTTCATGTCTTGTCCATAGTTCCCATGTGCTTTTTCCATATTGCCTTCCCTTGTCTTCATCCTAGCTGATCCCAGCTACATTTCAGCCTTCTCAGAAGAAATATACCAATGAGTATATTTGGAAAAATGGGATTTAAAACTTTTACCATCTCAAAGTCTCATCCATGATCTTAACAAACTTACCCCATGGGCTTGTTATTGGTACTTTTTAAATTGGTAAACACTAATATCTGAGAGATCCTGAAACAGAAACTAAATCCATTATTTTCTCAAGACTAATAATTCCTAGAGAAATACAACATTAACAACTTTAATAGTAAAAAAATCTGTGTTTCCCAAAGTCTTTCTAGAGAGTACCAGCTCTATCGAAGATCCCACTTGATGAAGAAGTTCCACATTCAAATAAATTTAGAAGTCTTGTGTTAAACAGGATCCTTAACCACAGGGCTTTTTGGAACATCTTATTGTGCATTGGGTATTTCCAACAGGGAATTATTTCCCAAATTTCTTTGACAATGAATAGCTTTGAAGAAAGATCTTCCTATGCTTTGACCACACTTTGGGAAACTCAGCTCCAGATTTACCTTCACGTTGAGTTTTGTCTAGTTAAGACAGTCCAAGATGAACCCCTGGATCCTAAGTATATACCTCAAGAGGTTCCAAGCCTCAGTTCCATCATCTGAACCCTTACCTAATAGTTAAAATAGCATGAAAAGAAAGTCAAAAGAGAAAGTCAAGAGTAGGAGCCTTCTTTAGTAAGTCAGCTCCAAGAACAAAGCAAAAAGACCATAACATTTTAAAAGCCCTTTTTCTGGGGCTCCAGGGAAGTATAATCAGCAGAATCATCATGGGCAGTTCTACAGATAATTAATACTGGTTTATTTATCTTTACAAAAAAAAATTAAAAGGTCTCGCAGCAGATGGGCACTCAGCCACTGGAAGAGCTAATGTAAACAAGTTACTGGCTTTGAACTTATTTAATAATACATGGGAGGGGCCAATGTTAATTCCAGATGTGGATTTATAGAATTGCTTTTAGACAAAACTCACAGATGGAAGCATAGTGCTTGGCTTCTATTGAATGTATCAACTCCACCTTTCCCCTCTCCTAGCCCTACTAGACTTGTTAACACTGAATGATTTTATTTCTGTATCTCAGGACACTTCTGTCTGTGAAGTCTGGGGCATCACTGCATATTGATACCCCCGCTGGAGACAAGATTGCACAGGCTGCTAAGTGATTTTCTCATTCCTCCTTCTTCTACCACTTTCTCTCCCTCTAGAAGCTGAACCGGAAGTTGACAACCTTCTGGTTTCAGATGCCACCCCAGACAGCTTCCGTCTGTCCTGGACAGCTGATGAAGGGATGTTCGACAGTTTTGTTCTCAAAATCAGAGATACCAAAAAGCAGTCTGAACCACAGGAAATAATCCTCCATTCCCCAGAACGTACCAAGGACATAACAAATCTCAGAGAGGCCACTGAATACAAAATTGAACTCTACGGAATACGCAATGGAAGGCGATCCCAGCCAGTCAGTGCCATAGCAACAACAGGTACTGTAAACAAACAGGAGAGTACAGAGAAAAGTCCTGCACTTAGGCAATTCTCACACACTGGGTAATCACAGGAGTTTTAGACACATACAGGCTTCCAGCAGATCCTGGCCTACCTTGGACAATGTGCTAAGTCTTTACATAAAAGAGCATGATGCTTATCACCTGATAAGGCTGCTGAGGTTCACTGGGATAACTCCTGTAAAGCCCATAGCAGAGGGTCTGGCACATACAAGGCTTCTGCAAGTGAGAGCTGGTCACATGGTGGTCTCTACTGCATCATTCTCATTGCAAGTGTCCTATTTTTGTTTTCAATTCCAAAGACTCCTTCTTACCTGTTACCTGATGGTATTTTGCCTAGTGATACAGTGTCTGGTTCTTTGGCCAACACTTTAGGTCACCCTACATTAAATGGAAAAGTTTCACCTGTACCTATAAGGATTAATATTTATAAATGCTCATATGAATAAACAGTACGGTGATCAGTAAGGAAGGAAAAGCAAGCTGGCCAGGCTGACGAGACACTTATTAACTCTCTTAGAGACTTCTGGGCACCCTAAAGAGCATCTAGAGTAGGAAATAAAACCTTTTCCATATGAGCTGAGTCAGAAAGGGAAAGAAGATGGTTAAAAACATGACTTGTAATACTAAACTTAGTATTTAAGCGACTCTTTAGAGAGAAAAAGTGAAGGCCCAAACAGATGGGTCATTACTTTCAGGAAAAAGAGAGATCCAGAAACAGCACCCTCAGGAACAGCTGCTTCAAAGAGAAACCAGAGAGGGGGAAAAAAAAATCACAAAATCACAGAGGAACTAGAGACCTGAAAAGGCTGTCGCTCAACCTTTTCTGTTTGTGTGTGCAGAATCTGATGCCCAGAAAGGTGATATAACTTGCTCAAAATCACACAGATAGATTTCAGGTAGAATCCAAATGAGTGCAAATTTTATCCCTACTAAATATAAACAAAGAAGATGGATGACCAGTGTTTGTATATATGTGCCGTCTCGGGCAGACATAAAGCCCAACATTAGCCGAAACTCCCTAATCTTTGTGTGAAGATGCATTTTTGTTATGTTAAGTTTCAGAACCTAATAAGTTCCAAGAAGTGACCCACAGAAATTGTAATCACTATTTGTAGATGTAGAGAAAATTCAGAAACCAGGCAGCAACTTAGTGAGAAGAAAAAAATCCGCTCCTTATGCACACGGTTACCCATTCCAGGCTGCAAGTTTGAGTCTCCACCTCCCATGGTTGCCCATAAAACAACTCCAGATCAGAAGAGACAGAGGCCAATTTTGAGCTCAGTTTATAAACACTGCTCTTTAAAGTTTACTTCTGATCCTTAATTTTGTTTTGCTGATATTTTTCCTACAAACCCTCTAGTTCTACAGCAAAAAAAGAGAATGAATAATCATGAGCTGCTCGCTTTGTTTTGTTTTTAAGAACAAAAGAAAAGGCACAGTCTGCTCTTTGGCAAGGCCCTCTCTGAGATCTACCCTCTCTGGGGCCTTTGGGTTCACAGCCAAAGAAAAGAGAAAGTGTGCGTATGTCAATGTGCACATGGACAAGTGCGTTGCTGTGTGTGTGTGTGTGTGTATGTATGTGCATGCACATGCGTGTCCATGTGCACCTGCATTCCTATGCTCCAGGACTGGGAGAGGCCAGGAGAAATGCTCCAAGCACAACAGACATCTAGCATCCAGCCTCACCTCATCAGCTCAGTGGTTTCCTTTGTATTTGTTCATCCTTTCACCCGTCCTCTCCCACACCATTGTTCACCTTCCTCTGTGATCCTCCGTCCCTCTTCCTTCTGATAAAGACCTGCTGAAACTCCTCCTTAAAGGACATTTCTCCCAAGCACAAGCTGCCCACTCTGAGTGCCCAGAGTAGCAGAGAGAAGAGTGTATCCCAGTGGTTAGTTAACCAGCGGTCTCTGGGTGAATTGTTGGCAGTGAATATGTTACTATCCCTCCCACTCTTAAGCAGTTCTCTTCCTCTCTGAACCTCAGTTCCCTCATTTGGAAAACAGAATTTAACTGAAGATCAGCCACAAGGTTGAAATAAGGTAGTGAATGTCAAGCATCCAACAGAATTTCCCTGTCCACAGTACCAATGTTAGCTGTTATCATGTGTGTGGAGTTGGTGTAAATTTTATGTTCGATAGGTTTTATGGGACGGTACTCAGAAGTTAAAAAGCATTCACACTGGAGTCTCTGTTCAGCTGTGTTGCTGTACCCAGTGGCTTTGAGTAGGGGTGGCTAATGTTGGCACTTCACGTCTCTCCAGAAGTAGATAAAAGTAAGATAATTCTTTTTTAACTCTTTTGAAGAGCACAGTGTTTAATGTATTTTCATTCTTTCAAGCTTGTGTGTGTGTGTGTGTGTGTGTGTGTGTGTTCTACGTATTAACAGAGCTTATTACTTGTTTGGCCATCTCCCTACTGATTGGCACCTAGGCTATTACTTTTACTTTTGTTATTGCTTCTATCTCCAGTTCCTGTGCTTGCAATGATTTCTTTCCCCTCAGTGGTTGTACCCACTTCCTTGCAATAGTCTTGGTCTCCCTTGGAGAGAAGCTCTTTTCTCCTACAGGAAGTTAAATGCCATCCTATCTCTTGGTACCATCTTGAGGGTCCCCAGAGTCTGCAGAAAATAGGAAAGAAATCCCAGCAACTGGGTAAGATGACTTTGCCATTCTCTTCTGGAGGTTTCTATAGCTCACAGAGGGTGCTGTGAGTGGGACCCAGAAACGTTCCCCTATCCTATCCTCATGCCCATCTCACACACGCACCCCTGGAACTCTCTTCCATCCCTAAGGCCAATAGGGAAGGCAGAACCTCCTCTCCTTGTTCCCGGAACACGCCTGTACTCCCACCTTGCCCCACCCTTTCAACTCTCTGTTCCAGTCCAGTTCAGAGGAACTTGAAGCCATGCACCAGAGTTGCACGTACATTGTCTTGGGGCCCTGGTCAGTGAGTCTGAAGAAACAGCTGCTTGGCAACCCTCCCTTCCATACGGCAGGCTCTTGGTGCTCAATACAGCTGACTCAGACTCATACTTTCCCCCGGGTACCATAAAGATGATGCCACCAACTACAGAGCATATACTTTGTGCCACATGCAGCCGGGGACCTCCTTGAATCTCCAAGACACAGGCAGACAAAGGAAGTACCACATTAAGCTCACCTAACAGATGTGAAAACTCAGACCCAGGAGGCTGAGGCACTTTTAGATAGTAATGTCTGAGTGGAAGCCACACCCAAGTTGGTTCAACTCCAAAATTCTTGCTTTAAACCATACTGCATATAGCAGCCATCCCCTTAATTCAGCACAGGAACTAATGCATATTAAATGTTCAATAAAACTATATTGAAAGGAGAAATTTTAAAAATTGTCAATTGCTAAATAGTGAAAAACATTTGCAGTATATTTGAGGTGGCAAATTTATGCAGAGAGAAGATAGAAGCCCTTTGCAACCTCCTTGAAAGTTTTTAGGAATTCCAGATATTTCCCTAAGAGAAGGTTTAAAAAAACAGTCTTTTGGAAAGAGAGACAAGAAGCATTGCCTTGGTCCCCCCAGTTTTTTTTCAATACATGTGATTTAGTTGTTCTTTGCACTGCCATATGCTATAGGGATGGAGACTTTTGGACCCCATTTGTGGCAAAAAGAAGCAGGCTAGAATCACCTAGAAAGCTCTGCACCCCCCAAAACAGCAAGCCCATTGTTGCTGGACTTCTACCACAACTATGCTGTTTGTCTAAGTTCTACACAGCCATCTTCCTACTTCCGCTTTTACCATGCAAATCCCTGGAGTGGGTAATGGATGGGGCCATTAGTTCTTATGATGTGGAAGACAGGACAGTTATTATTGCCATCTTATAAGTAAGAAAATTGGGGTCTTGATAAAGAAAGCATTGGCTATAAGACACAATATCTAAAATGTGCTAAGTCCTACACCAGCAAGGTTTTCAGTCAGAGTGAGCCAGGCTGGCAGAGGTGATCCTCTGGGCCTGAGTTTATTGACCTCATGGGTTCTTCACTCAGCTGGACTCATCTAGATCTTTCTGAAGTATACCTTAACAGAAGAAAGAGTCACATAGGAAAGAAAACAGAGAAGGAGCGCATTCATATTAACTGAATTCTTACTGTGTGTCAGATGTCATGCTAAGGGTTTTACTTCCATTATCTCTGCTAATCTCAAAACATTCCTGTGGGTGCATACTGCTTTCCCCACTGGACAGATGGAGCAACTGAAGTTCACAGAAGTGAAGAGACTTGCCCCAGGCTGCCCAGCCTCCCAGTGGTATTCGGACCATCAAGATCTTGTAGGCTCCTGGGACCTTGTGGTTTCCAGAGCTTTCCATGGACAGAAGGGAAAAAAAACAGGCAGCCACAGAGTCTGGGGGTGGTTCGCAGGTCACAGAAGAAAGCTGTGGGAGGAAATAAATGTCTTGAATGAGAGAAAAAGATAGAAATGGGTAGGGAAAAATAACCACTGTCCCCAAATTTCTGTGGGTTTCCTAACTTAATGACCAACGTGGGTTGAAGAAAGGAAAAGATGAGGAAATTAGCTCTCTAGAGCCTGAAAATTGTTTCCTGAATTCCCTGTCTAAGCATGATTGGCTGAAGTGGGCAAAAACCTAAGCCAAAAAGTACACACACACGCACACACACACACACACACACACATACTCACCCCAGAGAAAACTGGCTTGGGGTGGGGACCATCAGGAGCAGGAAATTCCCTTTGGGCATGAGTTTCCTCACACGTAGACCCACTGTCCAGTGGGTGTTGACTTTGGTGATGGCTTGGGGTTGCTCCCTGGCTTTGGACCTCCTTTCAGTCCCAGCAGTAGGTTGTCAAGGTCCTTGTCTGTGTGCCCATTATGTCCATGAGCCCGGGATATACTCAGCTGTCCTGTCCTGGGACCTAGAAAGCTCACATCACAAGAATGTTGCTTGAAGAACAGAGCCTCACCTTGGTCCTCTATTCCAAGGCCACAATCACACTTTCTTCTAAGGGGTTTCCATATGAGGATTCTGCTTTCTATATTGCGTATTAGCTATACATGTGGCAAGTCTTTGCATTATTTAGTAAAAGGAAATAGAACTCAAGGATTTGAAAAAGTGCACAAAATAAAAATTAAAAAGCGACACATTTGGATCTGTGAAACCACTCTCTCTTACCTCCTTGGAAGCCAACTGAGGTGTTAACACTCCACTTGGCCGGACCAAATGACTGCACAGCACTGAGCCCTGTACCTGGAATGAAATGGTGGGTGTCTCTGTCGAGCCACACCTTGGCCACAGGTCACACCTTCCTTCTCCATCCTAAAGGCTTGGCTCAGTCATCAACTCTAGGCACTAAATTTTCTTGGATGAAGGATCCAGGAAAAACCATTGATGGAAAAGACAATTAACCATATCTGGGTTTCTCTTGTGTTTTCTCCCTGACAGCCATGGGCTCTCCAAAGGAACTCATTTTCTCAGACATCACTGAGAATGCAGCCACTGTCAGCTGGAAGGCACCCACTTCGCAGGTGGAGAGCTTCCGGATTACCTATGTGCCCATGAGTGGAGGTAGGGGACTCAGATAGTTGTGGAGTGTGGGCAGGGATCCTGGAAGGTTTGACCATGGAGTGAAAGAGATCACGATTATACCCAAACATCATGGCTAAAAAAAACCACTTCCTTATTTTGGAGACCATCTGAAGTGATCCCATGTGTAAAGTTCTATAAGATCCTTGAAAGAACCGTCCTCAGGAGGGATCATTTTATGAGGATCCTTCCCAGCCTTGAAATTCTAAAGTTCTATGAGGAGTTCATCCACAGTGGGGTTTTTTTAACACATTTACAAAAGAGTCTATATACAGTGTCCTTTTCTCCCTGAGTACACCGATCTTAAAAGCTAGTCTTGACTATGTATGAGATTTTGCTCTTAGATACCAAAATCTATCTGTCTCATTATAGAACGGGAAATTGGTACCTTAACAGAGTTGTGAATTCTAGTTCAGAATGCAGGGCTGTGGTAGAGATCTCAGGGAAAAGGCACAGTGAAATCTGTCCAGCGATATTCTAGCAGGAGGTAAGCTCTCTGTCACTTGAAGTGTGTAAACAGAGGCTAGTTGGTGACAGAAATGCTGATGCATCTCCGTGGAGAGTTTGGCTAGCTGATGCACCAGCCTTTTGCCACCCCTGAAATTCTAAAGTATATAAATTCTGGACTTGCTGAAAAATATAAAGGCAACAAACTTGACTATAATCATCTTTTTATTATAAATAGAATTTCTGCTAGTAAGAAAGTCTGTATAATCCTAAACCGAGATAATGGGTAAGAGGTTCAGATGTACATTACACATAGTGAGCTTTCCATATACTCTGTGGGGGAAAAATGATAAAGAAAATAAAATTTGCACAACATGCCAACTCTCTACTGGACGGAAACTTGCCATTTTTAGTATGTTGTGACTTCATTTTTTTTCCTCTCCTGGCTTGGTTTTTGGCATCCACACCAATGGAAAAAGCATTATACAAACAGTAAGGCCTCTTCCCTCGTGTCAGAAGGTGGGGTAAAATGAGAGAAAGTCAAGGAAATGGTATTGGGGAATGATATCATTTCATTTATAAGTGGAGCACACACGTCCTTGGAGCCCTGAAAATGAGCATCCATGAGGTTTGCTGTCGCCAACTGTGCTTTCTCTGTGTTCCAGGGACGCCCTCCATGGTGACAGTAGATGGAACCACAACGGAGGCCAGGCTGGGGCAGCTCATCCCCGGGATGGAGTACCTCGTCAGTGCCATTGCCATGAAGGGCTTTGAGGAGAGCGAACCTGTGTCAGGGTCTCTCACCACAGGTGTGTTGAGTTGGGGCCTGGTTTTTCAGAGATTCTCTTCCTTTGGCTATTTTATTTCTCATTTTCAGCAGCAGGGAGGAAAGTTTATTTCTGAAATCTTAGTGGAAGGAGAATTGGATTTCAAGTGCCAAAAGTTCTCATTCTGACCCATCCCTGGTCTCAGATGAGCTGAGGAACCTTAACCACCTTAACCTCCTAGGGCCTCTACTTCTTCCACTGTTGTGGGAATCAAATGATGCTAATCCTGACCTGGTTTGAAATCCCATCTATGCAGTCTGCTAGCTTTATAAGGCATCTGATAATTCCTTTGCATCCAGTTTCATTCTCTGTAAAATGGGTACAATTCTCCTTCCCTCGTAGAGTTCTAAGAATCTGTAAATGTGAGTGGTAGTGCAAGTTCACCTGCCACCTCCTTCCTTCCTCCAGTGCCTGGAAGCACTGTGAGGAGCCTCCAAGCGGGTGCTTCACACAGACCTATGACAGGGGCAGGTATAGAATAGCTACTCTCTATTTGGCAGCTCCTGCATTCTGAGCACTGCTGCTACACTCTCTAATCCCTATAGTTACTATGATTCTCATTTTACAGAGGAAACAACTGAGATTTGGGGAAATTACTAAGCTACATAATTGGTATTTACGTAATGTTAGAACCAAATCTGAACACAGGTCATTCTGCCTACAACTGCTGTGTTCTTCCAAAATGAAGCATCATTTCCCTATTGAGATCTGAATTGTTCAGTAGACTGTTGAGGGGGGAAATAATGAATCTCATTGAAGGAGAATAAAGTGGAAAATGTCTCTTCAGACAGCTATGTCTCTAAACAATTTATCCTTTGAAATATGAGCAATTATCCAGTCCAATCCATTAAAGGATCCAAAGAATGGGTCTCATAGGAAATGTTAAAAATATCCTAATTGCCTGAAAGAGTTGATAATACACAATTAAAATGTCCCATCTGAACCCAGAGTCCTGTCCACCCTGCCACACAGGCCTTTATTCTTCTAAAGAAGTCTTTTATTCATGAATTCTCCCACAGTAACAGATCCCAAAAGCCGGGTGTGTTTCCTCCCAAGTCCACATTGTCCATTGCTGTCCTCAATTAAAGTGGATTCTGTACATGTGTGATCAAACAGGAAGGAACACACAGCAGACAATGGGAGCTACCAAAATGTTCTATCCCACCCTGACTCCCAAGCCACTTATTTCTTCTCATGAGGCTCAGGTCCCTCACCTGTGATATGAGCTGATGACGGCTGCTCTCAACTTCCAAGGCTGCCATAGGGTAATTGAATAGTAAGAGCAAAGGCAGGAGAGAAGTAGCCATATCCTGGTTGGATTCCAAGAAAGGGATACTGGGTATGGAAAGGGGCCACTTGGAAGAAGTCAGGGATGAATACCCGCTTTGATATCCTTTCTCAGTACGCATCATTTGAAAATCCCACTTAAGACTCCAAATAACTTTAAGAGACATGTTAATGATGATTGTTGTTCCTGAGAGCTTCCCTAGCATATTTTACACACACTACCCAGTTAATCCTTATTGCAGCCTCCCTTTGACAACTGAAGAAACTGAAGTCAAAAGAAGGGAAATGACCTTCCTGAGGCCCCAGAAGCACTAGGCAAGAAAGCCACAGTAGAACCCATGACCTTTAGCCTCTGGAGGCTGGCTCCCTATTACCTGTAAAACACCTAACCAGAGAGCTCACTAAAGCCCCAAACAGCCTGGGGCAGTCTCAACTCTGCAAGTATCCTCTATTTGTGTAAGTTTCTTCTATGGGAAAGGGAGTATGAACCCTGATGATAATCTTTCTCACATGTTCAGCACTTTTGACTTTACACAGCACTTTTCCATCCAAAATATGTGAAAATCAAAACAACACAGGAAAAACCAGCCAGATTCATCATCTCCATTTTAGAGGTGAGGGACTAGAGACCCAACAGGAACCCAGTCAACAAGGGATGGAATCGTACCTCAAAGCTAGGCTCAGGACTCGGAACCCTTCCACACACTTGACAGTGTGAAGTAGTATCAGGAGTACAGACAGCAGAGCAGCTCTGGTCTGATGCTCTCCCCCACCCTGACCAGCCCTTCCCCCACCATCTTTCTTTGCAGCTCTGGATGGCCCTTCCAGCCTGGTGACAGCTAACATCACGGACACTGAAGCCTTGGCCATGTGGCAGCCAGCCATAGCCACTGTGGATAGTTACATCATCTCCTACACAGGGGAGAGAGGTAAGGTTTGACCCAAGACTCTTCTCACTCCAAGGGGTGTGGTTCTCACTGCTAACTTTTTCCATTCTCCCTTCTCCATGCCGCATTTGGGTGCAGGATGACAAAAATGCATGGGTAGGTGGAAAGGCCAGCAATGTCCCTGTGGTCCTCACTTGCAATTTTAACAGAGAATGGTAGGCAATGCAAAAAACAAGAGGCATATCTCTTACCCCCATGTGTTTTCCTGGCCCTTTCCTCCTGTCCTGTTAGTCTTTTTTACCATCAGTATGAAATTCCCTCACTAGGAAGCAGCTCTTATACAGGAGTCCAGAATCTAAAATCTTAAATGACATCTGGTGGTACTGGGGGTGCTGGCTCCTCAGAAGCCAGAGAGACCAGTGGAAGCAAATTTCATTGAAAAATCTGAATTTATTTTTCTTTGTTTTTGCAACCACCTGTGCTCATTTACCCAGGTGGCAGATTAAATACTTGCTAATGGCACCTGCCAGACATGGGCACAGGCAGGTAAAACCTAATACAAAGAAGAGGAGAAAAAGAGTCCTCTTCAATGAACCTATCCAGAATTTAGTAATGAGCTACAATGTAAAGAATTTTGTTGTTTCAATTTCCAAGAATATGTAGGTCTTGTGTTTTATGGCTCCATCTTGTTTTCCTTTCAGTGACAATATGAAATGACATCATAGTTTTTGCCCAGGGCCTCTGAAAATTTTAACTGAGTACTAGCATGGGTCTGAGAGAGTTCCTTGTGAGGATAGGGTCGAGATGGGGTCAGGGCAGGGAAATTTGGATTTATTCTTTTTACTTTTTAATTCTCATCTCTATGGACAAACTCTTCAGAGACAGAAAGATACTGTTGCCTAAAGTAAATCAGGGTATGGTTCATGAGAATCAGAGAAATTGTGGACTCAGAACTAAGGAAAGGCCTGGGCCAGAAAGGAGGAAAGGCGCTTGTAGATGATGAGGTAAGGTAACCAATTGCTTTAGTCAGCTTTCCACTGCTATGACAAAATACCTGAAAACTCAAATTAAAAGGAGGAAAGGCCTATTTTGGCTCAAAGTTTTCAATCTGTGGTCACCTGGTCCCATTGCTTTAGGCCTTTGGCAAGGAAGAACAGCATGGTGGGAAGCACATGATAAAGTAGAGCTGCTCATCATATGGTGACCAGGAAGCAGAGAGAGAGAGAGAGAGAGAGAGAGAGAGGTTGGGGCCAGCACCCTAATATACACTCCAAGGACATACCTCCAGCTACTACCACGACTACTCCCTCCAACTGGGCCCCACCTCCTAAAGTTTCCACCACTTTCCAATAGTTCCATTAGCTGAGTACCAAGCCTTTTATACATGAGCTTTGGGGGAACATTTAAGATCCAAACCATAACACCAACTTGTCCCAGTTTGCCAGGGACTTCCTCAGTTACAGCACTATAAGTTCTACACCTGGGAAGCCCTTCTGTCCTTGACGAACCAGGACGGTTTGTCTCCTATGATTAGAAAATAAATACATTCACCAAGGCATGGTGGTTTGGTTTCTACCACTGGACACGAATGCCTGACCCCAGTGGGCCCAAGAGGCTGTACCAGACTCCAGGGTAGCTATCATTATTGTGACCCCTCCTCAGCCTTAAGGATTTTGTGATCCTTGATTTGACAACATATGGTAATTTATTAAAAAATGCATATGTGAAAAGAAGGGGGAAAATAGTAAGACAAATTAAATTCAGGTATCCTGAGGCTTGGGGGTGTTACCTGCAACCCTCCTCTAACTCAGTACTGTATCTGAACCACAAAGCTGTTCCAGCCAGGACACTATGTGGAAAAACATCTCCTGACCTCCAGCTCCTCTTCCTTCTGATGTGGTGCCTGGAAAATCCAGTCCTGTAGGATCAATCTTTTGTATATAAAGTGAGTGCTCAAGAGAGAGAAAAGGATCTGAGTCATTTCAGAAATCAAACCTGCTTCTCTGCAGAGTCACTGAAAGTTTCTGTGTGAGAAGGAAGTGTGTACACTGCCAAGTCTTTTGATGACTTGGACAGCAATAGGTAATGGCCCTGGTATGTGTGCTTCATGTTTAGTGCCAGAAATTACACGCACAGTGTCCGGGAACACAGTGGAGTATGCTTTGACTGACCTTGAGCCTGCTACGGAATACACCCTGAGAATCTTTGCAGAGAAAGGACCCCTGAAGAGCTCCACCATCACTACCAGGTTCACTACAGGTACAAAGACAGAGAGTTGAAAGCTCTCCCCACTGAGATGCCCACCCACAGCCTGCATCTGAAAAGGCAGTCCAGCTCCCCTTCTTAAGTCAGCCCCTTGCAATGTGATGACAGCAGTGCCCACTCAGTCAGGACCTGAAGAAACACACCATTTCCTTTTCAACTGAAATGACCTTGTCCTCCCCACAGATGAGGAAAGGATTTTAAGAGAAGAGATTTTTAAGTGGAAAACCAGTCCCCATTGGCCCTAAACTCAAAATGTAATGATCCATGTTCCAGGGACGGAACTATATTTGAAAAGAAAGATTTTTCAGGCAACTTTTCCTAGATGTCCAGTGGGCTTTTATGCATTGAGATCTTTTTTACAAATTTCAGCAATCAGAGAAATACAGGGAACATCTTCTCTGTGGGGGTGAGCACTGATATTAGCACTCATCTGTCCTCTTATTTATAAACAAGGTGGTTGGTAATGATCATCACAGCTGTATCTTTCTCCCCAAAGTCTACCCAAAGCCAACCAGGGTTGTGTTGGGCACATTGAAATACAGCCCTTAGGAAGAGGTGAACCACGGAGAATCTGTCTTTAAAGATCCAGTGTTCAACCTCTTCATCTATAGACAGGGAAAGTTCTTGTCCAAGATTACACCAGATGGTGGAAGAGAAGGAACTTGAGCCCAGTCCTGTTGATTCTCTCTGTCCTGCACCAGTTGACTTATTTGATGTTGTCTTCTCCAGACCTGGATTCTCCAAGAGATTTGACTGCTGCTGAGGTTCAATCAGAAACTGCCCTCCTCACCTGGCGACCTCCCCGGGCATCAGTCACTGGCTACCTCCTGGTTTATGAATCCCTGGATGGTACAGTCAAGGTATCTTAAAGTACACAAACAACTCCCCACTGCTGGTTGAAATATATGTGTGACTCTCAAAGTAAGGAAGAATTACCTGATGCCATTTCTCCAGTCTGGTGCCACAGAGAGCTGAAACAAAAAAATTAGTAGGAACTGGATGCGATGCCCAACATTTTGAGTCATACCCTCCAGTCTCTCTCATTTTAACCAGCTCCCAGTTCTATAGCCAGCCAATTTCAAGAACCACTACGTAAAAGACTTTGAGGATGTTTTATGAGCTAGATTCCTTATTCTTTAATGTTAAATTGAGCAAAGACCAAGAGCTTGCTGCACATTTGGCATATGTATTATCTCACAGTTGGCATCATTACATTACTTACTATAACATATTTCACCAAGTGACTGTTAATACTGTTTATATCCATGTTAATATTACTTATATTCTCTCCCCCTGTGAACTTTCTTTTCTTTTACTTTTTAATCTGCAATAACAGTCTACAGCCATACCACCCTAATTGCGCCTTATCTCCTCTAATTTGCAATAACTTTAGACCTTCGAACAATTGAAAAAGACATTTGAAAGCTTACCTTCCAAAGGCATTATTGGATTTTTCATTTTGGTTATCTTACCTTGTATTTCCAAGGTCTTTTACTTATTCTCTGTACATACTTCTTTTTCTAGCATCTTATTTGCATTCCATGTATCACCTGCTCTTTATCTCTAAAATATATTATTGGCATTTCACTCTAGAATGGCATTTTTTCAGTTTCTCTTCTCTGTTTTATTGTTTTGGTTTGGCTTTTCTTTTTTTAATTTTGTCTCCCTTTTTCAAGTTGGAGTCTCCAACCATTATCCATTAGTCCTAGTTTATCCTTTTGCATTTGATCCAAGAATGAAAGAATTGATTGGGTGCTCCAATTGTCCAGCAGGGCTCGCCAACTGAAGGACTCACTCTAGAGAGACCAGGCAAGTACCTAGCAATTTTGCTGGGCATGCCAAATATCAGTATCACAAAGCCTGGGCTCTCACTGTATGCAGAGTGTCACTTCATCTTACGATTCCAGTGTAACACCCAGCCTCCCTGGCAGTTGAACCTGGTGAATTTGAATTCTGAGCCTCCTCTCTATCCCAGCCCCTCCAAAGAATGAACCTGAGCCTTCCATCTGAACAAGAAGGGGTGGGGAAGATTGGGGAATCTGTTTCTTACACAAAGCTTTTAAATATACCAAACCTTAGTTCAGCCACATGCTACACTGCCTTGAAAGGCCTCTTTGATTTTGTACACACCCAGTATGAACTTGCTAGACATCAGCCAGCTTGTGCTAGTTCTGCCTGTGATAGGCCTCAGCTCTTGTTATCTGACCCCTCAGGGTTTGCTCCACCACCCACTTTGCATCTACCAAGGTTCTCTTGGCATGACACACCTGTTGCTGTCTCAGTCCCCTCTTCCTTGTGTATTTATACCCTACGTGTCATTACTCTTGCTTTAGTAGACATCAGAAGCAAGAAGAAATAAAGAGGCCCATTCAGTATATCATGTTTAAGCAGAAGTGGACACTTGTTTCTAGTTACTGTCATGGCCATTCCTGGAGTTGCTTGGCAATGAACTAACTCAGTAACCTGAAGCAGGTCCCTTGTCTTCTCAGTGTCAGTGGTGTTCAGACATTCTGCTCACAGATGCCATGGTCCCCTCTCAGGCATCTAGGACTGTGTCTACCTCAATTGTAAGTCTCTTCCAAGCTACCCTGATTGCCTAGAAGACACCTTTGCACTGCAGCCTAGAAAGCTGATAAGTAATTGTATCCTCAAGTACTGCAGTGAGCCCCGCTTTACCTAACAATTGATCTTTCCCCAGGGACCAGATCTGAAAGGCACAAAAAGGTCACTGGTATTAAATGGAAACTCATCCTGGTTTACTTTTCTTGCATGTCCCATCCCCAGCTTTAGATTTCTCTCTCAAGAAAATCAACCTAGTAAGGAAGAGCAGGTTATAGAGAGCCGTGTTGTATTGTCGGGTTTACCAGGACATAGGTTGAATTCCAATCCCAGATACCTAGGTCATCTGCTAAAAAGAACTGGAAACAAGGGAGAAGACTGGAAAACAAAGAAAATGTCCTGAAAATGGAATCTGATCCCTTCCTTCCAGACAGCAGCCCAGGGGCCATCCACATAGTTAGAGTGGGTCCTATGTCTGTCTCTGCTGGATAGATCCTTTCTGGAAAAGTCACGCTGGATCAGCTCAAACCTTCATCCTGCCCCACCAATTGAGCAACTGTAATCACCTCCTGACTCAAGATGTTCCCAACCTGACTTTGCATCAGAATCCTCTGGAGAGCTTCTTAAATACACACCCGGCCAGGTCCCACTTCTCTCCATGATGGCTCAGTTAGTCTGGGACGGGGCCCAGGCATCATGGTGTTTTATAGCTTCCCAAGAGGGCTGTGATAAGGAGCCATATTTAGGGACCACTGACTTGACTGGACACAAAGTCCTTTGACCCTTGTACCATTCATCTTGCCACCAACTTAAATTTTTTAAAGCAGAGCTGTTCAACAACCTTTCAGACCTTTCAGACCTTTCATTCCTTATAATGATAAGCTTCCAATTTTATAGCTTGATATTTAAGGTCCTTCACACTCTAGTCTTTTTCTACCTTCTTCATTGCTCCTCCACCTGAAACCAAGTACACTTAGAGTATTGCTTCTTCACATTGTTTTAACTTATTCTTCCCCTTCTGGTCCCAGGGCCTTTGTTTATGATGCATTCTCTCTATCTCTGATGTTCCAGTCACGCACACAGAGCCTGGATCAGAATGGGTGTTCTGTGGCATCTTGCTGGATGAATAAATGAATGCATCACCTACACACACCCTGAGAATAGCTGTGGTCAAACTCCTATACTTTTTCTTGTTCCTAGGAAGTCATCCTGGGCCCAGACACCACCTCCTACAGCCTGGCAGACCTGAGTCCATCCACCCACTACACAGCCAGGATCCAGGCACTGAGTGGAGCCCTGAGGAGCAAGCTGATCCAAACCGTCTTCACCACAAGTAAGGAGGTCCAGGAAGCATTAGGGACCTGAGGTCTAACTTTGTGAAATGGAATCAGCCTTCTACTTTCTCTTTGACTTCTATTTTATATTTTCTAAACAAGTCTCTGAAAAGTATCAGTTCTCTGCTACTCCTTGGAAGCCTGAGGACAGTGGATGTAGGAGGAGATGGGTATCCTGGAGAAAAGAAAGGAAGACAGATGGGGAGCCCACCTGGATTCAGTGTTCATCTCTGCAACTTGCTAGAAGAGTTCTATAAGCCTCCTCAGTTTCTTCAACTACACAAAGGGATTGAAAACATCTTCTCTTCACAAGAACCTAGTGAGGGCTAATGAGATATTGTATTTGAACTCTTAGGGGAGTTATAAGGGAGTGACCCTTCTATAGTCAGGCTCAATATGTACTCCATATCTCTTCCCATCTCCTTCAGCACATCAGTGTTTACAAAGCCTATCCATGTTCAAAATAACAAATGTCCCTCCTACCAAACTGGAACAGTGAACAGTAATTATTATGCCTAATTTCCTAGTGGGGAAATGAGGCTTCCAGAGACTAAATGACCTGTTCAAGGCCACTTCGAGTCAGAGTTGGGCTCAGGGCCCTGGAGTCCCCCCTCCTCCCACCACCAGGCATCTTCTGTGGGTGGTCGATAGGCAGGTGGTTCCATGGGTGAGTTAGAAGCTGTATCCATCCATAAGGAGGGGAAGCGTGGCCCTCAGAGCTGCCTCCTGCCCTTCATGATTTCCTCAACACTCATTCTGCACGTATCTGCCAAGGAGTGTGCTTCCTTTTCTCCAGATCTTAGGGAACATGAACTACGAGTGTACCCCAAAGATGCTTTCAGACTAGGGCTGTGAAATAAACAGGAAAACAGCTAATGTAGGTAAAGTATAGTGAGAAGGTGTTGTCAGATGAGAAAAAAAGAATTGCTATGACTGTCAGTTCTCTGGACACCTATTAAGTGTAGGCCCAAATTGTCCATTTTTATGAAGTTTTTAATTTTTGTGTCATTTAATTACACTTGAACATTCCCCAGGCATTCTTGATTTAGCCAAGATTTCTAGACTCACAGCAGTCAAATGGCTCCTTCAATGCCATACAGTAAGCAAGTGGTAGGCTCAGAACTTGGGCCCTTGTCTCAGAGTTCTCTGAAGAGCCTGAGATACATGGAGACTGTGGTTTGAAATGTATTTATCCAGAGAGCTCAGAGCTCCAAACTTTTATCACCATCTCAGAGCAGCCTGTACCTCAATACAATGCTTGCTCCACAGTGAGCCACCCACTGGGTGCTAGAAATGCAACCACCACAGCTGGCACCTGCATGTCCCTGACACGTTATCTTCACAGCAGCTCTAACAGCCTCCCACTGCTATCACTCACAGTGTCTATCAGTATGAGGGACTGGGGTCCTTCATGTCAAGACTTTTAGGCCACAGAGCCTCCCTGTGAAGTGGGTTTCATCCCCATCTTGTCTGAGAGGCAATAGAGACTCAGAGAGGTCACTCTGCTTGCCCCATAGGAATCAAGCCAATAAACAGTTGAACTGCAGTCTGGAAGCTCCTAGCCTGGTCCTCCAGCTCCAAGATTCACTACTTCTCTTTTTCCTGCAGTTGGGCTCCTGTACCCATTCCCCAAGGATTGCTCCCAAGCAATGCTGAATGGAGACACGACCTCTGGCCTCTACACCATTTACCTGAACAATGATAAGGCCCAGGCTCTGGAAGTCTTCTGTGACATGACCGCTGATGGGGGTGGCTGGATTGTGAGTACCATGGTGGATCCCAGAGTTCTCAGAAATGGAGAGTAGGCACTCCGGGGGAGGGAGCGGGAATATTCCCCTCCCTGTGCACTCTGACACTGATATACATGCGGCTTTGCAAGGAGTGCCTATCACACAGAGGAACATAGGAATGACCTCCTTAAACAAAGAAATGGAAAGAAGATGTGGACGAAAAAATAAGATGAGAAATAATTATCTCCTAATGAATCTCATCTGATCCTTCCCAAACAACTCTGCATAAATGACAGTGATCATCAAACCCATTAGTTATTAGCAGTGGCTAAGCCCTTGCTGTCTACCAGGCACTGTTCTAAGAGTTTAACAGGAATTATTTAACCTTACTACCAAGTATGCTGCTTAGTAATAAACTTTATTTTTAGGGAAATTTTAGGTTCATGGAAAAATTAATAGGAAAGTAGAGTTCCCATATATCTACACCATCTTCACAATGTCTACCACCACCTTGTTATCATCAATATCCTATTCCAGTGTGATGTATTTGTTAAAACTGATGAACCCACACTGACACACCATTATCACACCAAGCTGGATAATGTTTTTGGTCCCTACTTCTCAGGTGAAAATACCATGCATGGTTCAGGGCCAGAGAGGGGAGCTGACCTGCCCAAGATCACATGGAACATGATTGATGGACAGAGCAAGGATGGGTACTCTTTCCCTAGTCTGCAGTTTCTTCCTCTCAGAAAGAAGTTCTTTCTGTCCTCCAAATTCAAGTGCACCCAGATGCATTTATTATGTTTATAGGTGTTCCTGAGACGCAAAAATGGGCGTGAGGACTTCTATCGAAACTGGAGAGCCTATGCTGCCGGATTTGGGGACCACAGAGAAGAATTCTGGCTTGGTAATAATGTTTGTGTCCAAAATGCCTACTTCTGTCTGCCTTGGCATTTGTTCTAACTACAGTGATCCAAAGGGAGAGGAAAAGATTCAGAAATAAGCACTGCTGCTCGGAGCTCTGGTGATAGGCACTGACTAGCTAAATCCCAATGCAAAAGACTTTTTAAAGCTTTGGGTCACTAAAAATAAAAACTTGAGGGCCAACAGCCAGCCTTATGAATTAATGTAGCCTTAAGTCAGTCACTAAAACATTCACAGAATTGTACTCCCTGGTAATACTGACAGAGTCCTCCTGTGCCCTAGTTACTGAGATCTGTCCCTCATTACCATAACCTCTGATCCTCTGAGCACCCCTGTAAAATGCAAACTGCCCTTCATACATGTGAGGAAGCAGATCCTCGGACAGGCTGGCTGTGGCTTGCCCATGGTGATCTACCCAGTGAGCTATTGAACTACAATTTAAAATCTCCCAAGTCTATACTACCTTGCCTTCATCCACTCATCCATCCATCTATCCACGCCCCTCACACTTTCTAACCTACTTGCACAGAGCATTGTTCTGCACCATTGCCTGAACCTGGCAATATCCATCCCAATGCTGCCGGTTGCCTTACATGTGTAAGGATTTTCAGAATTTAAAGGGTGCCTGCCCCCTTACTGTCTTTGATATTAACAATATGCTAGGGGATTAGAGAGGCAGTGATGGCAACCTGATTTTACCTGAGGCTCAGAAACATCATATATTTTGCCTGGTGTTGTATCAGCAGAACAAGTTTCCAGCGTGTCTCGGTGACATGCACTCTTTCGAGTGTACGCAGTTGATGCTTTTACTGGGTAAAATAGAAAATGATAGCCTCGGTCACTTGCGCTTCCTCTGCAACCTTTGCCTATCCTCTGCAGGGCTGGATAACCTAAGCAAAATCACAGCCCAAGGACAATATGAGCTCCGTGTGGATCTGCAAGACCATGGGGAGACAGCCTACGCTGTTTACGACAAGTTCAGTGTGGGAGACGCCAAGACTAGATACAGGCTGAAGGTGGAAGGATACAGTGGGACCGCAGGTATGGGACAGCCACACTGGGAGCCTACAGGACCTTCCTTGTTGTTCTCAGCTAATTTCCCCCTTCCTTCCTTCCCTCCTTCCTTCCTTCCTTCCTTCCCTCCCTCCTTCCTTCCCTCCTTCCTTCCTTCCTTCCCTCCTTCCTTCCTTCCTCTATTTACTGAATCAATCAATACTTGAATACTAGGCAAGGTACTAATCCAGAAGAGCTACAATTGAATGGGTTGAGTAAATATTTTGGTCCCTGAACCATGGAGTAGGTTGAGAATCAGACAATCAGTATTGATTTATAACTCCTCATTCAGAAGATAGAAGGGGTGATCCAAAATATAGTGAATTTTGAAAAAGATTTTAAACTTATTACAATAAAAGACACATTGCCAAGAAGGACGGGATAAGTATGTTCAAAGGAGAGGGAGTACGTAGTATTTTAGGGGATTAGTAGCAATGTGTCTTTCATTGTAATAACTTTTTAATTGAAACATGCATTATAGTTTTGATTATCCCACGTATGTCTTTCTCATCCATTTTTGGCTATCAGCTGTACACTGACAGAAAAAAATGGTTGCCCAAAGCTCTTAGTCCTCATCTAACCCAGTACTTTGTTACTATGGTTATAAGACCCTCTGGGGATCCTGCTAATGTGTAGATGCTGACACAGGAAGTCTGGGTAGGACTGAGAATGCCTTTCTTACAAGCTCCCTGGTGACTGGTGTTGCTGGCCTATAGACTTCAGTTTGAGTAACAATGTACTCCATCTGACCAGCTGTTAACATGTCTTGTGAGATAGCCCTGCCACCTGGTCGTCCAGCCTGAGCCTCACCCTGCATGCCCACATGACTAGACACTTGCTGTGCTACCCCTCAAGTGGCACTTTCATTCCTGGTGTGGACCATGATCCTGGTTCTAGTTTTGAAAACTCCTTTGACTTGACATGGCCTTTGTACAGTTTTCTGGCTGTACATTAGAGAAAAAATAAATAAGGAAACAATATATATTAAGGTCTGCTGGGTAGCACTGTCTTTTGTAAACATATTACTTGTGTTATCCCCACTTAGTCCTCACAAAACCCTTTCAGGAAAATGTGGTTATAAACATGAGGAAACGGGCTCAAAAGAGCTGAGGGATTTACCCAGGGTGAAACAGCAGTTAGAAGAAGAGGCAAGTGGCTGCAGAGAAATGTGGCCAGTGGTTTTCTTGGTATCGAGGAGGATCAGGCTGAGAAAGCAGACCACCCCACACAAGCCATGCCCACTTCGGATGCTTCCTTTTATGCTTATGAAAACAGAAGAGACAGATGCTACAGCACACTTCCAGTCCCTCTGAGCTCTGAAAGAAAACATCCAGACAGGAGAAAGTCTGCAGACAAAGGGATGCCAAAAGTCTGGCTTCAGTCTAAGGAGGCACAAAGCTCTTTCAAGATGGAGGTTTGGTGGTAATGAAGAAGGACAGCCAGGAGAGAAACTTGTTTTAGTTCTTGCATGCCTTAAATAATTCTGACATCTTATTGCCTGACAATGAATAGCTCTTTGGTTGTGATGGCTTCAGGCAAGAAGGATATTGTTACATGGCAAAAAAAAAAAAAAAAAAAAAAAAAAATCCACCAAGCAACAAGAATGCAGCCTCTGTATTTCTCTTTGCATTTGCAATGAGAAAATGCACCGTATTTCTCTTTAGTATGATAACCTTGGTAAGGTTGTATTTTCCCATACTTTGGTAGCAGTCAGACCCCTACACGAGAGCATACCATTATATTCGTATCTACCTTCCATCTTCATACGCTGGGTAACATCATCAGTTAGCAAACCACACGAACCTCTCTGATAACTTGAAGCTCCAAATATCAGTGCACAACCTTCAGGCATCTTGAAATTTTTGTACACCGCAAAAAGAAATGCCATCAAAATGCTTCCAAAGTTCAATATATTAAATTACAAACTACACTCCCCAATAAAATTATATTAAAAATCATAAACAAAATAATCATATATACCTGTCTGCATACCTTTCTACCTGTTCAGAGCACACCTTCTTATCCGTTGTCACACAACAATGTGAGGTAGAGGGAATCAGTGGGGTGGCTCCACTTTCCAGATGAAACACAGAGGGTCAGCAAGAGGCTTGATTCACAGCTAGAGAGGGAGGTGGAACTTGAAGCTGAACCCTCCACAGTCACCTACAGCATTTGTCCTACCTGTCATGCCACTGCTGTGAGAAATGAGCCATGTGCACTTGTGTCCCCTCAGTCCCACTTTCAGTCCTGACTCTGGGTCTGAAGTTCAAGGCCAGCTCACCCCAGGACCATACAGCTGTTACCTCTGCTTCTGCCCTTCACAGCTCAGAAAGAAATGCCAGCTGAGATTTCAGGTCCTTATTTTTCTCTTAGGTGACTCCATGGCCTACCACAATGGCAGATCTTTCTCCACCTATGACAAGGACACAGACTCAGCCATCACCAACTGTGCCCTGTCCTACAAAGGAGCTTTCTGGTATAAGAACTGTCACCGTGTCAACTTGATGGGGAGATATGGGGACAACAACCACAGTCAGGTGAGCAGACTGTGATGACCGGGGCCAGGCAGGGCTTGGGGCCCTGGGTAGGTGTGAGGGAAAGACATCGCGGCTCTCATGCTAGGGGACACTAGGAGCAGCAACAGCAGAGATGGGATGGGATGATATGTTTTTTCTCCAGCACAGCAAGGAAATCTCAGTACCAGCACAAATCAGATAAAATCGAAAGGGCATGTGTTAACCTTTGAAGATCCTGAGGAGAACCATTGGCCATGTGGATTCCAGGCTTAGAAAGCTTTCCTCAGACACAATCTCTGTGTGCACCTCAAATGTAAAGCAGATAAAATGGAGACCATTTAGAGGAAGCAGAGTTGAAAGCCCCAAAGCCTTAGTAACACCTTGGAATGAGGTCACACACCTTTAATCCCTTCACTTTATGATGGGACCAAAGGCCAGAGAAAGGTGGCTTTTCTGAGGTCATGGAATTAAGTTGGAGTCAGTCACAAACTTCCCCACTTCGAGGCCCCAGTGTTTCTTCTGCACCATCTGCAACTCTAGCACCACCTTTGCAATCACAGGAGCAGGTTTGTGAGATCCCTTTTAGAAACAGGTGAGCAAAACAAACACAAGAGTCTCCCTTACCCTGAGGCCTGCCTGCACCAGTGTGTGCCTGGGAAGTGAGTATTGGGAGGGGCAGCACGTTAGTCCTAACCAGCTCCTTCCCTGGCCCTGCTTAGAGGCTCAGCCTTGTGCCAGGATGGAGAGACAGGTGTTCTCACAGAGCCACCCCACCCTGCTCCCTGGACCTTGAAGATTCTTGCCAGATCTGCTCAGTGGAATCCCAGGGTCTTTGTAAAATAGAAGTGGCCCCAGTCACACATCCCAACTCTGGGAATTTGAATCTGATGACCCAGGAGCAGTACAGCATGTCAGCTTTTTGCTTATTGTGCTTCTGTTGTTGTCGACTTGGGGAGATGGTTTTTCTTGGTGGGCAGTGGGGTTGGGAATTGTTGTACTCCGCTGTCAGCAATTCTGATACCTGTGAGTATACTACGTTAACTACTGGCAAATGATACTTGCGACCTTAAATATACATCTCACCTTGACAAAGCTTTTCAAAGGACTTTCCCTTTCTCAATCTCATGTGCATATCAGCTTTGCCCTGTGAGGGAATCAGGACCTGACTTTTCATGCTGTGTTACCAAGAAAGCCTTTGAAGGAGACCTAAGAACCCACCTCCAGGGTTCTTTCCATCTTATTTCACTGCCTCAGTAGCATTTCCACCCTGAGCATTGTTCTATCCCCTTGATTGTCCTGTCCCCTAACACCAGTGTAAAGCAAAGATTTTCCTGAAAACAAATCAAGCAAAACAAAAGGCTACATGTCAAAAATGAAACCTCTTTTTGCATCCAATTTTAAAAGAAGAAAGAAATAATGTAGGAGGGCACAAAGATCTCAGATCCAGCTCTGGTTCTGCCCAGGCTGCTGTGTGAGCTCTATAATGTCTCTTCCCACTCTGGCTTTAGTCTTCACCAAAGTACAAGGAGGCTTGGCTTCCAAACCTGAATGATTATGAAAGGAAAGAGGGAGGGGAGGGGAAGAAAGCATATGGACCAAGCAGGTGGGCTGCACTGCTTCACTGTAGCTGAGTGATTACAAGCACATTTGCCCATGAAATGAACCAGCTCTTCCTAAATCTCACCTCCCTGGCAGACTCACAGACCAGTGAATGGCAAAAGAGCCAAATCATGTCTATTTTTCCCTCATTTCACTACCATAAACTTGTCTGTGCACATGTGTCCCACATCCCTACAAAGCAGAGGAGTCACTGCTGGGGAGTGGGCCAGGAGCAGTGCTGCAAGCTGCAGTTACCCACCCTCATCCTCCCCTACCCTGGGTGAGGATCACATACCCTAGCTGGGCAGACTGTGCCATCTGTAGACCCCATTCAAGAGCGACTCATGGAACCAAGAAGCCCATAATCTTTTCTTTTTCTTGGCCAAAATTTCAAGGATCTCTCTCCCTCTTTGAGATTACAGAGTAGTATTTACTGAGCCCCCTACAAAGTGCCCAACACTGTGATAACATCTCTACTTTGTCAATCTTCATAGCATCTTTCAAGGTTGACATTATTACACATTTAAAAAGAAGGGAGAAAACGATAGTGAAACTGAGGCCCAAAACAATTTGATAACTTGTTCGAGATCATTTATCTCTCAAATAAAAGCACTGATATTCACCCCTGTCTGTCACTTTGCTAAGCTTGTGTTTCACCTCTGGTTTTTCTGCTATTCCATACCAACACTTTTTTAGAATGCTTCCTAGGAATCCTATACATTATAGATACACACATACACACCCACAAATGCATGCACATGCACATCCATACCTTGCACTTAGCTACTCACTTCTGTGCCTTCTGGTCATGACCAGAGCTTCTGTAGAAACTAGTCCTAAGAAAGCCAAGCTCATCTGCCACCATTTTGTTTCAAGATGGCAGCCCAAAGCTCAATGCAAACTCCAGTTACTTCTGACCAGTGGTAAGATATTGAGTCAGAGTCACCCAGCCCCTTCGAAAGTTTCACACCACAGACCAACTGACAGAGAGGCAAGAGGGAGCTGCTGTGGTATATGACACGGGCAAGTTGAAACAAAGCTCTTTTTGTTTGAACAACGAAACAGCGAAACAGAGAGGATCAATGAGCACCTTGCTTAATGGAAACTAACTCTAGGGTCTTTTCTTTCTTACAGGGAGTTAACTGGTTCCACTGGAAGGGCCACGAATACTCGATCCAGTTTGCAGAGATGAAGCTAAGACCCAGCAACTTCAGAAATCTAGAAAGCAGACGCAAACGGGCATAAACTCCAGGGACAACTGGGTGAGAGAGCAGAAGGCCCCAGAGAAAGGAAAGGATTTTACCAAAGCATCAGTCTACCCAGTCCAGCCACCTGGTCTCACTTGGACATTGGGCAAGAGTCAAGACTGACCCCGGGCCGTGGGATCTGCATCACAAACTCTGTGGCCACTTCCTTCACGCCAAAGACAGCAGGCTTCTGTTTTGTTCTTTGACTCAGCAAAATCTTTCCAGTGACAACAACATGATAGTTTTTACTTCTTTTGGGTGGCTCTGGGAATGGGAGAAGGGAGGACTGTACAGTGGTAGTTTTAGAGCCAGCTGTATTTTAAACAAAGCTATCTAATTAATTGTCATAATTTTGGTTAACAATGGCAAAGTGTGTGTCATTGGAATTCGACCCCCCCTTTTTTTTTACATTTCCTACAGCTGAAATCAGAAGAGCAATACTGTTTCCCTTTAAAGGAGATGATTAATATTATTAATATAATAATGATAATGGTGGTGATAATGATGATGATGATGATGATGAAAACTAAGGACTTTCTAGAGTTTTTTCTTTCCCAAACACATCTGGACAGTATCTGACTGTATTTTTTTTAATAAAAGCACAAGTACTTTTGAGTTTGATTGTTATTTTGCATTTCCTTATCTAGTCTGAATTCCATTAAAGCCAATGTATTTGGACAAAGGGAGGGATTTAGAAAGGAAAGGTAAGGAGAGATGGGGAGGGAGGAAGAAAAGAGAGACAAGGGATGAGAGGGAAAAATATGCTTTTTTGAACAAAAATGAACAAAAATGGGAAAACTAGCAACTTAAGATTCAGCTTCTTGCTCCACCTTTCTACTTTCCACAACTAATCATTTATGATGTAAAAGCTTTCTAGTCTAAGCTATAAATTCTGTAATGTAGATGAGGTGAGGATCATTATTATGCAAATTTAAAATCTTCAGAGGCAGAGTCCCTGAGTTCTACCATTTCCAAGATCCCTAAACTCTCCCTGCCTCAGTTTCCTTTTCTGTAAAGTGAGAACACTCATACCTCTTATTTCACAGGATTTCTGTGAGGAGTAAATTATGTCATCCTTACAAATCCTTAGCATACGCACGACATATATGAAATGCTAATAAGTGTTAGCTCTCTGTACTATCACTTTTTATAAGGGGTATACTGGTGTCTTAGTTACTTTTTCTTGTTGCTGAGACAAAATATCCAACATCCAAAGTAGAGGAAGAAAGGTTTATTTTAGTTCACAGTTTCCAGAGGTTTCAGTCCATAGTCAGCTGGCTCCAAGAGTGGCATGGCAGAGGGGCATGGCAGAGGAGAAACAGTTCATGGCAGGCAGAAGGCAGCAAAGAAGTGAAGTAGCAAGCAGTCAGCAGCAATCCTCTTTCTGTCCCTTACATTCATTTTATCCAGGCCACCATCCCTTAGGGTGGGTAGCAGTCACACCCAAGAAGAGCCTTACTATTATCCACACCCAAAACTATGCCAAACCAGTTAATGGACTGATTTAATAATCACACATCCTTAATCCCAACATCACACACTTAATCCCAGCATTACACACTCCAGATGCAGCTACCTCTGAAAAGCTCCTCACATGAGGCTTTGGGGGGATATTTACACACAAGCCATAACAACTAGGGTCCATAGACTTAGCTGTTGTGACATATTCAATTAATAATAGAACTGATATTTAAACCCAGGCCCTGTGGCTCCAGTGTTTGTCTGCTCTCTCCTTGGCTCCTGATAAAAATCTCTCCATCACTAGGCCATGGAATTTTATGATGAGAGACAGAGCAGGTTGCAATTGGAGACATGAGGGAATTTCAATTAGATCCTACATCAAGTTCCTTCAGTCTCGAATTTTTAGAACTAGAAAACATGTCTGTTTGGAATATCTTTTTCTCCCCTTCTCCAAATCCCCAGAAAGGAAGAGAGCCCAGAGTCCCCAGCCTTAGTCCAAACACTTGTACTGATGGGCACTCACTGCCCAGCCCAGCAGATCTGTTCACACTGAGCAGTGCAGTGAGTAAGAACCACACAATGCAGGACACATCTCTCTTAAACAAGGGAGGGGGCTAAGTCCCAGTTCATTCTCTCAGAGATCTTCAGCAAATTGACTTAGTTAACAAAAACACTTGGGCTGATAGGCCTCATTCAAATGGAATGTGATGGCTCAGATGCCATGCCGGGATCAGAGGAATTTATGGCCCCAGCCAGATCCTTTGCTGTTGAGTTTATCTTGCTTTAATAAATGCTGTCACGTTATATACACAATTTGCTTCTCCAGATCATAAGACCTGTTGCCTGTAATTCAGCCATAGCAACACTCTGCTGGCTGCACAAACCCAAACAAACAGGGTCCTCAACAACCAGACCTTAAGTAGGAGGCTTGACTCTCCACTGGCTGCTGACTTGGGAGTGTCAACATCCAACCCCATCTTCAGCACTGTAGCTGTAACTAAGCTGCTAAGGCATTTACCCAAAGCCCCACAAGAATCAAATCCTGATTGGTGACGAAGTCATATCAAACAGGCACCCTTAATCACAGCCTTGGGAAGTTATGGATGCCCCCAAATAAGGACCAGGGGACCAGAAGCATCTGAGGCCACAACATTCAAAACCCACCATTTCTCAATACAAAGTCTTTGACTTTGTAGCTTTTTCAGACAAATGCCTTGAATTAGTCAGTTTCCTTTCACTGGGACAAAATACCTGATACCCACAACTTGAGGAGAGATTTCTTTCACTTTGTGGTTTCAGAGGCTTCAGTCAATGGTTGATTGGCTCCAAAGTAGAAACATCATGGTGGAAGGACATGGCACAGGATGGCTGTTCACCCTTTGGTAGCCAGGAAACAGAGAGAAAAAAGGGAGGAACCAGAAACAAAAGCACACCCTTCCAGGTCACACCCAGTGACCCACCTCCTTCAGCAAGGCCCCACCGCCCATCACCACATTCAGCTATGAACTCATCAATGGATTAAACCACTAACAAGTACAGCATCTCCATGATCCAGTAATTTTCCAAAAGTCCTACCTTTGAACATTTGACTTTTGATAGACATTTTAGATCTAAGCCATAACATACCTTCAACTTGAAAAATCTCTTAAAATTGTACTCTACCCTCATGGTCCAGCCTCCACTCCACCCCCATGAAGCAGTTGAAATTTGTTGTCTGCAAATCCATTCCCAGGATGTTCAGTTTACCCTTTGCTCTTCCCCTCATCTGCTCTCCTCCTTTCCTCTGCCTTATGCCCTTCAAGGCACCCATGTGAACTCTGTCAATGTCCTCTAGCTTCCAGATGGGCACAGAAAGGGATGTACTAGCAGAATACTGAAGAAAGGTGTCAGGATGAGAGTGAGTCAGGGTACTTATTTTTCAGCTCTCTCTATAGCACTACTGTGAACTGACAGCTTCCCTCATGAATCTCACACATCAAGAAAACTACTCGTCCTCCCACTCTCTCTCTCTCTCTCTCTCTCTCTCTCTCTCTCTCTCTCTCTCTCTCTCTCTCTGTTTCAGATCCTGTTCCCCTGACTTGCCCCTTCAGGCCTAGGGATGGTCACAGTGCCTTGCTTTTGCCAGAGCTGGGAAACTGTGCTGGACCTTTGGTTCTTCTCTGCTCTGTCTACTACTTTGGAAATAGTCCCTCCACTCAAGCTCTCCTTGGGGATCCTGACAGGCTCACTTACTCTCAGGAATACCTGGGCACTTGGTACCACTGTTAGAAGAAACTGCTTATCTTATCCATTATTTTTTCCTTCTCACAGTTCTCTTCCACAGTGGTCACTGGTCATTTAATAGCTTCCTAGCATCCAAATTTCTTTCTAGTTTTAGAGAATTTCCCAGTGGGTGGGAACCCTGCCTTCTACCATGGAGGCCACAAGAGAAATACACTGTACTCCTATCCTGTTAGCTAGAACATGAGAGTAAAACATGGGTCTTGAAAATTGGCTATCCAGAGAAGGAATTAAATTTGAGTAAGGAATACAGGCAAAAAGCCTCTGAGACTAGCTTCCCTACAGAGTCTAGCAATAGGACTTCTTCTCAGTGAGATCTGAGACCAGCATCAGGTGCAACAGTGTCTTCCTCTAATGGTGATGGGCATGGGCCATTCCTCATAGTGACAAAGACATACTGGCTGATGGTTCCTGATAGCTGGCATCCTTTGGTTACTGGTGGTTTTCAGAGCATACTTCTCCAAACTTCCCATTAATTTTATGAGTTTCCTGAGATCGTTCTAGATAGTTCCTTTTCTGCTTAAGTAGTCCCAAGATTATTTCTGATGCTTGTAGCCAAATGCTTTGACTGATATGCATCTCCCTAGCCTTTGAACCCTTTTTTTAATTGTCTCTCTTGTGGGCCCAGTACTGTGCTCCACACTTGAAATACTTGAAGTTATTTGATAATAACAGTGACCTGTAGACAGTCAAGACTATTCTATTTTCTCTAGGAAACTAACCCTCACAGAAGTCAGGTGACTTGTGCAAATACTCCAAGATGTAAAGGCAGGTATCAGACTACAATTTAAAGGTAGGATGCCTGATCGAAAAATCCAAGGTCTTTGTAGGGAAGCTATCTTACTCATTTCAATAAATCATACTAAACTGAGAACAATATTTTATTCATTGCACAAATGTTTATTGAGTACGCTGCATATGGAAAAGACACCTGAGTGAAAAAAAGAGAAAAGATCCATGCAACTTGCTTCCCAACAAGAAACTTTAATATATGACCAAATTAAATAGCATATTAAAAGGTAACAAGTGCCATGGGAAAACAGAACAGGACTAGGATAAGAGGTAGGGGCCCCAGAACAGGGGACATTGCAGTGTTAAAGTGGGGTAGTCGGGACAGGTTTTGTTGAGAGTCAAGAGAGGAACATATGATGCATTCAATGACTATCTGTCACACTGAGTCAGTGATCATCTTCCTCCTTTTAAAGCCAGTAAAGCACCATTCAGAGAAAGCTAGGGATTGCCCATGGCAAGTTGGCACTGGATTCTGATGGTAATCCTGCATTGCAGCATGGCAGTCACAGGACTCTCCTCACTGAGCCTCCCTGGATGAATGCTCTCAAACATCTCCCTGCACAGCCAGTTCTTTGTGACAGCCATTCCACCTCCTCACTTCTCAGCCTGCCCCACTGTTATGGCTTATATCTAGATGTCCCCTTAAAACCTCGTGCACTCGTGGGTTGGGCTTTTCCAAACTGGCTGGATCTAGGGTGTGTGATATTGAGTTTAAGGGTGTAGCCTAGCTGGGAAAAAGAGAGAAATGGAGCCTTGCTGCTTGCTGCTGCTGCTGCCTCCTGCCTGACCTACCATTCACTATTTCTCCTCTGGGATGCCCTGTCT